TGCAGTTCAAAAATGATATGTAGTATCCGGTGATAATAAATTTCTATGACGAGTGCATTATTTTCAATAGATGGTAGATCAATTGGAAGAAATATCATGAAAAGCAGTATCTTTTTCCTAAAAGCACATAGTTCCCTTTTATGAGTTTTGTTATGGGGTCTTCATTATAGATTTGACTATTTGAACTGATGGTATTTATTTGTTTCCGATCAGATTTAGTTTTCGTCTGTCATTAAAATTTACAAGCTGTGTATCAATTTCAATATCTACCATGCCTGTGGCATAAAATTATATCAGATCAACATTTTGTACCTCATATTTCAGTTAAAAATTATCATCATAATCTTCTTTTACCTAATTCTGTGACACCTTGCTCGCATTGTGACACAAACAAAGATTTAAAGCTAGCTTGCGTCACATCGTTTATTCCTATTTCCAGAGTATTGTGGCTCGGGATACAATGTCAGGTACCCTTTAAGGCAGGATTAGTCTCGTCAAAGTATTTCTGCTTCTGTTGAAGTTATATTTGGTTCTTTGGCTCCTTCTCTCGTCACAGTTGGGGAAAGTTTGCTCTTGTGGCTGGCTGAAATGTTGATCTCTTTCTTTGCCCCACAATAGGCTGTATAAACCACAATTACTATGATTCCTCCCACTATACTGAAGGCCAAAAGAATTAAAAATCAGAACCTTAGGTGTACGCAAACTGTCTTTGCTATGAATTTTAACTGAAAGTATAAAAAGAAACAAATACTCTGATATTCTACAGATTACAGACTTGACCAACACATAAGAGAAATTTTAACTGAAAACTTCAATGCAATGCTACAGATTACAGACTTGACCAAAGATTCTACTCGAAACAATCAAATGTCAAGCTTTGGAACTCTGACATTCTCAAATTTACATTTTTAATAATAAAAAGGGAACATATCCAGGTTCTTATTCTTAGTTTCGGATATTTTGTTTGGAATTAGGTGCATAGAACTTTTCACCGAAGATGAATATTTTATAGCATAAAAAATACAAACGGTTACTCAGTTCATAGTTTAGTTTCTGGAGTTTTGATTGTGTGGTGGTGATGGGTTGGAAATATAATGCTGGTTAGGCTTGATTGGCAGTGTTGTGTTTTATGGGCACCTCTGCAGAGATCACTCAGGTATACAAATGTTCTGCCATCTTTTCTTTTTCTTTTCTTTTGTTTGATTGTTTGGTTTCCAAGAAAGTGAAATCAAGTTGGAATCCTGGATGTTCCTTTCTCTTTCTTTATTTTGTTAGCAACCGGGGGCTCATATTTCTTTGTATGTGTGGCTTATGATAATTTGCATAGAAGAATCACTCTTTTGGAATTAGGATATAAAAAGGCTCTTTTATCTGTTTTAATATTTGTTGATGATTTATTAACGTGAATGGGAACTGAGAGTGAGCTGTTGAAGTTCTGCATATTTGGTATTGAGTAAATGTAATTTAATAATCTTCTCTTCTTAAATTCTAAGTTTTTGAGTTTTATTTGACCTTTAAAATTGGTGATCTGATATTGTAAATTCATATGTTAATGGCTCTATAAAGCTGTGAAGTCAAATTATGTGGCCATGAAGTATATCTAATACAGCAGACATCCTGAATTCTTACTTTATTTAGGCTCATTAATGTGATTTTCAAGTGGCAATCCATAGTCAAGAAATTAGAATCTCAGCTTATACTACTTAATTTCCGTCACAGAGAATTTTTGCAGAGTATAGACAGCCTTTGCACTTACATATCTCGGGGTGTCTCTTATGGTAATTTATTTGCCCATAGCACTTTGAGAGATTGCGTATGCAGCTTCTTGGGTGCAACCATTTTAAGAATTTTTTCTGTAACACCTGTGACAAGCCCTTCTACTGGACTTGATATTCCTCTTAGAGTCAATGAGTTGCAGGATGGTCCAGAAACTGATCTACAAAGGAGTCTAATTAGTGCCAAATTTCTTAGCGAAAGGGAAGGGGGGTGGCCTTTGCTCCCAAAGAATGAGGAAGACGGCCACCCTACTTGAACATAGCAGCGATCTTCTTTCATGGGAAATTGTCAACTGCAGTTTATATCTTACTCCAATATGGTTTTTAACAGAGGTAACAAAATTCATCTTCATATAATTTTTTATCGACAAATTTGGTTGTATACAAGTTTATCTAGGCAAAATATGGCAGTGTTGAGTGTAGTACACGGCTTCACAAGTAGTTCACATAACATATGTGTAGTACTTTTATCTGTTGCATAAACATAACTTAATTTGTAGAAAGACTACTCTGAACACCTACAGAAGATATGAACACAGATAGGTTAGAAAGACTTGAGGTGTTGTTGCATTATGTGCACAAACATAACTTACTTGACAAAACTATGTAGCTGGGTTTAATCATATAACGATCTTTTGTACTTATATTTGATTTTCTGAACATTTCTTCTTATTTGAAGTACTTTACGAGATATGATATGGTATGCTGATCCTTTCTTAGTATATGCCTAATTTAATCTTAATGTCATGCAGTATTTATCCAACTCCGCTCTGGCAAATACTAGTGTTGCAAGTACAACTGTCCTAACTTCTACATCGGGGCTCTTACACTTTTCTTTGGAGTTCTTCTTGGCCAGGACTCCATTAGTATTACAAAAGTGTCGCTGTTTTTGTAAGTATGGCTGGTGTTGCAATGACAACAGTTGGGAAACTGGGCAACAGATGAATATCTAAGCATCTCTGAGTAAGTAGAATATGTTCCTTAGATAGTTGTATTAAACTTTTCCTTTAGGGATCTATAGCTTTCTTCTCTTTTGTTCCGAAATATTTATGCTGATTCATCTGTTCACTCTTTTGTTTACACGATAAGTATATTTTCTTTCTTCTATCTGCCTTGGGTTGCAGATATTACAAAGAATTATAAGTTGTAGTAAGTGGTTTTATTGATATAGAATAATGTGAATTGATGTTTATAGATATTGAAAACGTAAATTCAGTTCACTACTAAAGATAAGATTTTCCGTGTTTAATGATTTTGTTTTTTCCACTTATTGTTATTCTTTGTACATAGTATTTACTTTCATCTGAACTTCTTGTAAGATATTAGTTATTTGTAGCTTTTAGAAACTCTCTCCTTTGATGTTGTTAGGTCTAGAAAGCACTCAATAACAGGGGACATTTTCGGCCTTCTCTCTGCAATTTCATATGGATTATTTACAGGTAGGATTCTTCATGGGAGTTGCAGTGATATATACAATTTCAAAAATTGCAGTTTTAGATTGTGCCACTGCCCCATCTTCTGCTTGATATTTAACTTGTCTATTTACTGCAGTGCTGCTCAAAAAATATGCTGGGTCTGATGGAGATAAGGTGATGTCAAAAGTTCTTTGGATATATCGGTCTCTTCTCTCTTTTTGGTCTTTGGTGGCTTGTGAGTAGCTTGTAATTTATCAAGTTCTTCATGCTGCAAATTTTCAGGCTTAAAGGACAAATAATTGAACAAGAATTATACCATGACGCAAAAACTTCCGTAGTTAGTACATTCGTTTGAAATATCTCACATCGATGTCATTTCCTATGTAGTATGGCCACTAGACGCGGCAGGACTTGAGTCTCCATTCGAATTTCCACATTCAACATCTGTTGGAGAAGTGCTGTTCACCAGCCTGGTGGGGAGTTTCTCTCAGACTACTTATGGTATGTACAAACACCCTCCGTATATTTCAACTAGACACCACCAGGACTTGAAACCATAAGAAGATTGCACTTTCTCAAGTGATTAATGAATCCAGGGCCCTTTCTGTGGTTTGGACAACTCCATTAGTCGCAACGCTGGGTATGTTCTTAACGATACCCCTCGCAATGTTAGCGGACATGGTTATACACGGCCGTCACTACTCTGCAATCTACATCCTTGGATGCATTCAGGTAGGCCTCATTGTTCATGTCAATATATTGCTTGCTAAATTAATAAGCTAGAAATGGAAACTTCACTAATAGAGTTATAAATTGGATTCAGTATTGCAGGTTTCATTATAGCCAATCTTTCCGACAAGTTTTCAGCAAAAGGAGAATTGTAGCAGTAGCAGCAACATAGTGTAAAATTTTGTTTGAATGAGAATGTAAATACATAAAGATTTGAAGCATCAAGTAATGCCTTTTTAAAAAAAAATATTATAATGCAAAATGTGAATAAGAAGGAACAACAAACTTTGGTTTCATGCTTATATGCTAAATTTTCAATATCTTCATGCATATCTTTTCTTTCTTTACTTTTACGATATGGGTTCACTCTAAAATCAAATATATAATTTGGAAACAATAAACTTAGGAATTAAAAAAAATGAATTCCAAGTCCATCGAGCTCAATTTTTGAAAATGAACAAAAGAAATTGAAGTCATTATCCTCTCTCTATGGTCGGATAGCAAGACCTTTTGCCTCTGGGGTAGCTATACCCCAGGGTCTTATCTTATGTTCGAAGTCGTAGGAGAGACATATATATTTGTATAATTACTTGGTCTATTATTTGTACGGTATTCTAGTTCCAAGGCTTAAGGATTAGGTGGGTTTAGCTGGCAATTAGGATTTGTAGGGTGTTTCGTGGCTTTGAGAATTAGGGGAGTTCGGTTGGCAATTATGCCCGAATACCTCAGTTATATAAAAAAAAAATACATAAATTCACTAATTTATTTATTATTTTTTACATAAATTCATAAAAACAAACATCAATTTCCTTGAAATATATTAATTAAGACAATAGGCAACCTAAAATTTCAACCCAAACATAAACCCTAAATTTAAAAGTATTTTTTCCAAAGAATTTTATAATGGAACCCTAGTTATAATCTATCCCAAAATTATACACCTAATAAAACACTTTAACAAGTCAGAAACCCGGACCGGTTCAGCTCCCGGTTAACGATAGATCGGATCAAAGTAGTCTACTGGCTTGGCCGGCTCCTAAGTTGAGGTCGTGTTTGGGAAAAAAGAAAGGAAAAAAAATATAGTTAAATAAAAGCAGTTCCAGCAACGAAGAGAAGCATATCAGTGAGAATATTATCGAATCTAATGGAGAAGGGTAAAGCAGTGATGGGTTCGGGGCGTAGATGGGCCGTTGATTTCACCGACAATTCAACCACTCCTTCCTCACGTGACATCCCTGATCCTCCTGGCTTCACTCGCGCTTCTCAAGATCAGGTTTGCCCCCTCTTCTCCATCTCTGATCTCTATTTGTTCTCTTAATTTTGGTTTTTTTTTCTTTTTAATTTCAATTATTGAATTTTTAATCTGATTAGGATGATTCAACCACCAGTCGCCAAAAGAAAGATGCCGAAGCTAATTGGAAGGCTCAGGTAATTTAAATTCCTCGTAGATTTACTCTTGATTTGTTCAATTCAGTGTATTTTAGGTTAAACGAATCAAGCTTACTTTTAAACTTTAGTTTTGGATTTGCACTTTAACTAATTCAAATTCTGTGATAATTGTGGAATTGATCAAAAGTATTGTTGTTTGTTAACAGTATTAGTGTTCTAATTTATATACAGAAAGCTTGGGAAGTGGCACAAGCTCCTTTCAAGAATTTGCTAATGATGGGTTTTATGATGTGGATGGCTGGAAGTACTGTACATCTTTTCAGCATCGGTATTACTTTTTCTGCTCTCTGGCAGCCTATAAGTGCTCTTCAAGGAGTTGGAAAGGGTAAGCACAATGCTACTGATTTGTATGTTGCAGTTCTTTTTCTTACATGAAGTATATATGCTATGTTCCAGGCCTCTTTAATGTGAAGCGAGCATACTTTTATCATACAGTGATTGAAATGTTATTGGGGAGAGTAGGAAGAAACCATGTCATTTGTATTTATTGTGATTACCATGTTTTTGTGTCCACAAATGTTTGCCCCCTCTCTCTGCTTGCGTTCTGAAATGGATTTTCATATAGTTTGTTGGGGATACAGTGAGTGTTTATAAGTAGAGGGTGAAGTTCTGGGTAGGGAATGTTTCTAAGATATATTATTTTTCTATTTGTCTGGATTTTGGATATGAATAACTCTTTCTTTTTCTTGTAAAATGTCGTTGATATGTGGGAGATGTATTTATTTTATCAAAATTGTGCACAAGTTAATTCTTTAAACTTGCATCTTACTTGAACTTCTAATCTCTACCGAAAGACTCCAACTATGGAATATCAGCATGTGCCAACGGTTTCCCTAGTGCTTTGATAGATCTGTTTGTTTTGTATTTGTTGATGGAATTTTTCATTGTTACCAAATGTATACATGATGCTCAGCATCTTGAGCTACCAAATGTCTAAGCATTTTCATTAAGTTCACTCACTTTGATTTTGCAGTTTTTGAGCCTTACAAAGACAGTAAAGTAGATCTTTTGGGGCCTAAGTTGCTTTTCATTGCCCTTAACTTGGGAGGTTTAGCACTGGGTGTTTGGAAGGTGAGATTCATTTTCCCTTAACATTTTGCATGGATGCTCTCTTGCTGAAAATTGAAATATTGATGAGCTAAATATTGTTCTTATACTTTTAATTTATTTGACTTTGGCAGCTTAACACGTTGGGGCTTCTTCCCACACATGCATCAGACTGGGTTTCATCATTACCCCCTGCTCAGGTTTAATTTTTCTTCCTTACCCAAAATCACCTTCCTCTGTACATGTGAATTAGAACGAAGCATTGGAAAAGGATTGTGTAGTCTGTTGGAAATGATTAGCAAGGCCATAAACAATTGTGGACTTAACAACCATTTATGCTTTTGTCATGTATAAATAAAATTTTGGATGATTTGTCAATATAATGTAGGTTCTTTGCATAGTCTTCTCTAACATCCATTGCTTTCTGGTTAATTCTCAGGAGGTTGAATATTCAGGAGGCGGTATTCCTCTGCACTAATGTGCTCGTTCAATCTAATTTGCAACTATTCTGTGAGAATTTTTGTGGAAAGAACCTACAAGAGCAATTGGAACTTAGAAGTTGTTCCTATTGAAGGCTTGTTTTGTGTGGGCGAGGCTGCCATAGACAATACAACCACATATATTGTTTTTACTCTTTTGAACTTTTTTTTGTAGCACTTGATTATGACTTGGTAGATTATTATTGATTCCCATATTCAGGTTAACTTTTTTCTACTAAAGAGACTTCAATTTTCTTTTAAGTGTTGAAATTTATGGATAGTTGTTTTGTCATTGCGTGGACTTTTGTTTCAATCTACAATTATTTTATGATGAGAAACCGGGTAACAAATTAGAAACTGACAATGAACCTGGCTTTTCTCGAAACAAATTTGGACCAAAAGACGAGCATAAAATAAAGATAAGAATATGATCAATTTCAAATATACTTGCTTTTAGGTAACATAAAGTCCTTGAATTTAGGAAAATAAGTTGCAAAATTCTACGTCTTTGTTGACTCCCACCCATAAAAGAATTTTACCTTTTAAATAAAAGAAATGTGCAAAGTGCTTTATTTATTTTTGTGGATAAAAGAATCTTTACAATTAACACAAATTATTATTAAATTGCGGTCACAGTCACAACTCACAATCACCATCTTCTATATTTGACACAAGACCAATCCAACTAAACAGCAACAAGAACGACAATGGAGTTCACGCCACAGCAGCTTCTCCAATACAACGGTACCGACCCATCAAAACCCATCTACGTCGCGATGAAAGGCCGCGTGTTCGATGTGACAACTGGCAAATCCTTTTACGGCCCTGGTGGTGCGTACGCGATGTTCGCCGGCAAAGATGCGAGCAGAGCTTTAGCAAAAATGAGCAAGAATGACGAGGATATCACTGCTTCTCTCGATGGTCTGTCCGAGAAAGAGATGGGTGTTCTTGATGATTGGGAGAAGAAGTTCGAAGCTAAGTACCCAGTTGTTGGTCGTGTTGCTTCTTAAAGTTCGGGCCTTTGCCTTATGATAATTATTATGGTTAAGCATAAGCATATAAATCACTGTGTGTTTCTTTTTATGGGGATTTTGTGTGCTGGAATGTCTAAATTTAGTTGAAAGATGTTAACTTTGTACTGAAGTTATGTGGGTGTTGGGTGGGAAGGATTGTGTATGATCCGAACTTGCTGGTATAGCGAATAAATGGATTAATAAAATGAATGGGGGTTGTGTGAATTTGGCTTTATTGTTCTTTTTATTTTGTTTGGTTTGCAGTTGTGTGCTCTGGCCATAGTTTCCCCCAATTTGTTTGTAGGATGATTCATTTAATTCTTGCAATGAATTTGGGATCCTTGTTGGTCTCTTTGGTTTACTAAGATGCCTCTGATTCTTAGTATCGGTAGGAACTGTGTGGATGCATGAATGAATAAAAATAAAGGACGATGGAGTGAGTTTGGGATTTTTGTGCACTTTCAAAAGTTATTCCTAGGATGAATGCTTATGTCTATGTATCTGAAGCTTGATTCCGCTGATCTCTTGAGAGGAGCTTTAGTTTCTAGGATGTGTGGTTTTGTCGACTTCATGTGTATTGGTTGATTGGTAAAAAAGGTTATAGAAATCTGCAGGTCTTGGGTAAGAACTAGTGTGTGTTGTTCTAGTATAAAGGAAAAATTCGTAGGTAAATAAACTGAGATGAGTAAATACAGACTATTGACAGCTTTCTATTGTGTGTCTAGGTGTTCTATTCAAAGAGATTATGGTGTTTATGTTGTTTGGCTTGTGTCTCGGGACCGTGAAAGATACAATTGAGTAATAGATTACATGTGATTTTTTTATCTGTGATTGCCTCTGAGTTGAATAGTAATTTGTATTTGGAGCCAAAAGACATCCTTTTGTGACTTCAGACTGAGAGGTTACGAGGTTGTGCCTCTGGGATTTAAAGTGCTGGACAAATATTATATAGATAGGAATTAAATTATTTACTTAAATTGGCTTAGATTTTATTTTGAAGAATATTAGCTGAGTTTGATTTTCTTGACTATGTAGGGTTGTCAGTTGTGGTCTATTTATGGCCCTAGTTTAGCTGAAGTAGGGAGTATTGGTTTACAAAGTGTCCATTCTGAAACGGTAATTTCTTTCTTTCTATTGTGTTGGTAGTTTTAAATGGTTTTAGGATAGACAGTCCTTTCATTTCCAGGAGTTATTTCTCTTAGCATTATTCCTGTCCCCGCTTGTCCTTGGATCTTTCACAAAACCCCGGTGATGCCATTTTCCAGATGGGTCATCTTTTAGAGAATGGGAACCCTGTACCTTGGAAAAGCCTTGGCCTTTCTGCCATATGAATTCTATAGAATGAGCAAAGTCTTCCCGGATGGTGTTGTTGGCGCTACTTGACTCATCGTGATGTTCGTTCCGAATTCCAGTTCCCGGTTGACCATCCCGGTTTTCCCCTCTGTTCAGACCACCTCTATTATGACTGTTGCCCAACGGCACCTTAATCGATTTGCCCCTCGTTTATCTCCTGACTTCTTCTTCCTCTTTCCTTCTCATCCAACCCTGTAGCTCTGTTAAACACTCTCTGATTGTACCCATGTCCACTCCGATTTTGGCTATCTCCCTTTCCACATTTTCCACTCTTGTCTCCCTTCTCGTTGCAACCATTGCCCAGGCGAACTACTTTGATACCACTTTGTTGGATCCCCACGCATTCAACAACTCAAAATTAAAAAAAACAGTAACTCAAATGAAACAAGAAATGGCGATATTAAAAATGAAAATGCAAACTGAATATTTTATATTAACCAAGTGAAGCATAAAACGGATGAAACTGAACTAATAATTGGAATCAATCAATCTCACATAAAAGAAAACGACTCCCATCCCAGTTGAACTTCCAGGGCCAGCCTCCTCCCCGATTCCCCATATAATTTTCTCATCTTAATCCTCTCAATTGCCTCCCTTTTTATTCACTTTTCCTCCTAACAGAATTATTCCCTTATCCCATCCCTTACTACCATCTGTGTTCACTCAATAACCAATTCTTAACAGCTCACTCTAACCCCTCACCCATCGAAATCTTCTTGTTAAAACCCCAAATCCCCTGCTTGCCTCTCTTAGTTTTCTTATTGTATATCACATATCGGGTGCTTTCATCGTCATAAATATTTAAGAATAATATTACAAATACCTGTAATATGATATTACAATATTAGTTTTTTAGTATCACATCATTTTCTTTTTTGCTATTTTTAACTTGGGAAAGTACATTATTATTGACTATTGAATGCAAAATTTGGGCAAACATAATCACCTCAAATGGGATCTTTCATGGGCCTGCTAGCTGCTGTTTAACTTGTAGTCAGCTACAGCCCACTTCAGATACCAGAAGCCTAACCGACTGATTTTAACCTATAAAAATCAGTAATCATGTTCTGATCAATCAGCCATTAACTTTACACTTCATCAGATTCATCACCATCCGATCAAACAAAAAATCAAGCGTTTAGATTTCTCTAAAGAAGTGGATGAACTGTTGAAACTGTTTTCCTCCATAGAGGATCTATGAATGCTCCTATCTATTGACCAAAAATGACTTCTTTTGTAAGTCATTCCTAAACACAACATATATACAACTTTGCTTTTTCTTCCCTATTTTCTCCCATCAAATCCACAAAAAACCGAATCAAAACCAAACCAAACCCGAATCTTTTATCTCCCAAAACCTCCTAATCTAATCCCAAATCTTTCTTTATTCTTTCTCCTTCATTAAGGAAAGAATATATTTATCAAAAACCATTCTTTCTCTTGTTTTAATCTAGTAAATAGTTAATTTGTTCTTACAAATCTAGTTGTTTTATCAGAATTCAAAGCTCCTTTCACTCTCCATCAGATGTCTATTAGAAACCCTTTATACACAAATCCCAAGCCCTGCAAGCATCTTGCAGATTACAAGCTTAAGAATGGCTTGAGTGGCTTCAACTCACTGCAAAACTATCTCAAAACCAACCCAAATGGAAAGTCAAGTGTTAAAAAACACTCGGCTGAAATACCCACATGCAATTTTTGTAATGGGTATCAAGGAAGATTGTATCTTTGCTTGATTTGCTCATCAATTTCATGTTCAATTCATTGTGTTTCGCATACTGAGTCTGAGAATGGCCATGATATAGCTGTGGATATTGAAAGATCAGAGCTTTATTGTGTTGTGTGTTGTGATCAGGTTTATGATCCTGATTTTGATAAGATTGTGATGTTAAAACACATCATGGATTTACCAAGAAATAGGAATGGAATTGATGAGGCTGGTGGTGTTATGAGGAGATCAAGTAAGAGGAGGAGATTGTTATCAGGGCAACGATTGGATTTGAAGAATTCAAAACTGCTGATGTCAATGAGAGATCAGAGAGCTAAATCATGTTATCCATTGGGTTTGAGAGGTTTGAATAATCTGGGCAATACTTGTTTCATGAATAGTGTGTTGCAAGCTTTTCTTCATGCTCCTCCTTTTAGAAATCACTTCTTGAGTGATCAGCATAACCATGAAGTATGCAGGAAAAAATCATCAGATCGTTTATGTTTACCATGTGACATTGATGTTATCTTCTCAGCTGCGTTTTCTGGCGATCGGACCCCATATAGCCCTGCTCAATTTCTTTACAGGTCTGCCATTGATTGATTTTCAGCATATCTTGATGTCATAATTTCGTTCCTTGGTTTATATCAAGTATTTATGCAACTTCTATAAGTCATTGTAGGATGTATGACAATGCATGGTTAGTTGATTCACTTTGAGCGCTTCAGATAGAAATGGTGGACAAGTTGTTTGATAAGTCTATGAGCTGCATATTTGTCATAGAATAATTATCTGAATTGGGATTATGTAAGGTGTTGGTGGCTTTACAAAGTTTTGCTATATGATTGAATATGTTTTCATGTGATTGGAGTTGGCATTTGATTCGGTTGTATAGGCGACTCTTGAGTGAAAATCACATGGATTATCTAGAAATGATGAAATCGTTTCTGTTTGTTCGAATCTCATGTTTGATAATTTATATCTGGTCCTAGATCTCTTCTTGGTTACTCCGATCCTTTCTCTTGATAGATGTCTAGAGACGAACTTACTCCTTCAATAATAAAATTTTATTGTTATTTGAAGTTGGTGGCAGCATTCAGCAAATTTAGCTAGTTATGAGCAGCAGGATGCTCATGAGTTCCTCATTTCAGTTTTGGACGGGATCCATGAGAAGGAGGGCAAGGCAAGGAACCACATAAAAGGTAATCAGATGCTTCAATTTGATGTTTAACTGCTTTGTAGCCGATAGTCATTTTGTCATATTATAAGCCATCGTCAATTATGTCACATTACTCCAAAATTATGTTTTACTTACTACAGTGATTTTCTGTTTTTGTAGATAATGGAGATTGCCAGTGTATTGCACATAGAGTATTCTCGGGACTTTTGAGATCAGATGTCACTTGCATGTCTTGTGGATTTACTTCCACAACTTATGATCCCTGTCTAGACATTTCACTCAATTTGGATACGGTTAATTGCTCTTCAACAGATTCACCTAACAAGTCTACCAAACATAATGAGAATACTGATGTCTCTACGCTTTTGGGTTGTTTGGATTTGTTTACAAGGCCAGAGAAGTTGGGGTCTGACCAGAAATTTTTCTGCGAAAATTGTCAAGAAAGGCAGGACTCACTGAAACAAATGTCCATTAAACGGCTTCCATTGGTGTTGTGTTTACATATTAAACGATTTGAGCACTCTTCTATCAGAAAGATGTCAAGGAAAATTGATCGTTATTTGCAATTTCCGTTCTGTTTAGACATGAACCCGTATTTATCCTCCTCTGTGGTCAGAAACAGATTTGGCAATAGAATTTTTTCTTTCGGGGGCGATGACTTGGATACTTCTGCAGAATTTGAGATTTTTGCTGTTGTTACTCATTCTGGGATGTTAGATGCAGGTCATTATGTGACTTATCTGCGTCTGAAAAAGCAGTGGTACAAATGTGATGATGCATGGGTTACTGAAGTTGATGAGGGGGTAGTGAGAGCTTCACAGTGTTACATGTTGTTCTATGTGCAGAAAATGCTTTATTACAAAGAAAATGAAGACTACAGTAGCCAGCCAGTTCCTTCACAGAGTGACCCGTTTCTTACTATCAGTGGTTGCTAATAAATTATATAACACCTGAGGTCGACTAAATAACAAGTGGGACAGAGGAAAAACGACATTCTTCACTGATGGTGTGTTCTCTTTCACATCAAATCTCCTGGCCTGACGACATGATCAACTGCGTTTATCAAGTTTGAGCCATGGAAGGCATAGGATATTTAGATTGGTCTTGATATTTGTGCAATACCCATTGCAATAAGTTATCTTATGGTCTTTTAAGATTAGTCTTCATCAACTGAAAGCAATATTGACCAAACAAAAGTAAACTGCTTCATATCATCATTTTGCATGCCCGAGCTCTTTACAAAATTTCTTCTTCAGAAATCTCTGACTGCAGTTAGTCATGTACAGTACAGATTTGATATTTATTCATCAACTAATTGATTACTTAAACAACTAATGGAGTTTGACATTTCCAAGTCCATCATCTTGATGGTGTTTATTGGTTTTTGGATTTTTCCCCTATATACTAGCTGCATACACGATGAAACTGTTTATATAGAAGTTGTAATTTTGACATTCACCCTGAGGAAGTGGAATTAGCGCATTAACTTTCTTTCTGGTTTAGATGAAGTAGTAGATATGGTTTTCTTGTTGTAACGTAGAGCTTATATCTTTAAAGCTAATTGCAAGTAAGGTTGAATGTTTAGTAAAGGGTACTTGATGATAATGCACAAGTTATATGCAAGCAAGATGGATAAGGCAATTGAAATGATCTGGCTTCACCCATGGTGCTGTGAAGGAAAGTTAAAACAGTTCAAAAGGGTATCGTTGTAGCTGAAAAAATTCTCACCCACTGTGACATCATACACAAAACAATTTCATTGAAGATGGTTAATAAAGAAGAAAAAGATAATGATGAGACATGGAAAAATGAAATGCAACACGTGGTGGTAGGCCACCTAATCCTGTTAACTTATTGAGGGCCACTCCTCCATGACTACCACTACAGTACAAGATTACAGATGATTTATTACTGCAAGAGAATAAGCTAATCAACTTAAAAAACTGTAATGCACTAAGCAAACAGAGCAGACGGTTTTAGGTAAAGTAGGCTGGCCCTGTCAAGAATATATCTTATAAGGTTTACATCCTACATAGAATATGTGTGAATTGCATTGTTGCAATCTTTTTTTAAGGGTAACTTTTCGAAAGTGAAAGTTAATTGAGGATTGCTTGAAATCCAAAATAAATCTTAGAGGATGAAATACAAAAGCAGATAGTGATGTGAGAAGTTGTATTCCTAATTTAGCAAAGAGACTTCCTCTTCATCATCATAAATAACTATGCCATTTTGCCAATTTTATGCAAAAATAATTGTAAAATTGAAAGATATTTGTTTTGTATGTGACAGGCATGTGAGGTTAAAGTTTTTCTCTTTGGGAAATCCATAAACATTGGACTTGAACACCTTTCAGACAAGGCTTTCGTTCACATGCTCACCTCATCAGAGGACAGGAAGTGGCAACAAGTTCCACAGATCGTGTCCCCACTACGTCATAGGACCAACCAAATTCAGCCACGTTTCTATTAAGTCTTAGGCTAAGTGCTCGACGATGAAATCCTCCCAGTTGATTAGCCACAATAATCTTAATACAAGTACCAAATTCAAGCCACATTGCGTCCAACGTCTTCTCTTTAGCTCTTTTGATTGGTCTACCCAGAATATCTGGCGAGTCTCGCTGTAGATTAAAGAAAAAAGAAAAATTAGATTTGGGCAAGGAGGCTACTCCGTTTAGAGTTTTGTTGGTCAACTATGTTACAGAGAGAAGACTCTTCTACATTGAAACTTCTGTGTTTTGGACCTGCCGTGAAACTTTCTTACTCTTGCTGTTTTTGTATTTTGAGATCAGTTTTAGAGAAGTATTTAACGATGCAAGTGGATTATATTATCACTTGAAAGAAGTTTTAGTCTTGTTTGTCAACCGGGTGTGTTCAAATTGTGATATCACCACACCAAAATGTCAAATTGAAGAAAAGTAAGATCAGAAAGCACTGTTTTTTTATTGGCTTGTTGGTTATTTGTCTGTTTTATCTGTGAAAGATAAACCATTTTTGGAGGAGTTGTAGTCAGTTTCAAGGTACTTATTATTTCTTTTTATGGTGAGGACTTTCGGTTAGAAGATACTTAGATTTAGAAAGATAGATTTTTGGTGAACTGGGTTCTTCAGATTTTTTATTGGGAAATTAAATTATGGGGGAGGAAATGAATCTGGAAGCCCCTGGAGAGGCTAAAGAGGAAAATGAATCCCAAAAGGGAAGGTGCTGTGAATGTTTCTGGACTCCAATTGATTGGATCAAAATGCTTGCTACTGAAATGCACTGGACTTTTGTGTTTGGTGTTGTGGTTGTTTATGGAATCAGCCAGGGATTAGGTGGAGCTCTTGTTCGTATTGGGACTGAGTATTACATGAAGGATGTTCAAAAGGTGCAGCCTTCTGAGTCTCAGGTCTACTCCGGAATTACTTTAATTCCTTGGATTGTCAAGCCTCTTTGGGGTCTTCTCACGGATGTTCTCCCTATTTACGGGTATCGAAGACGCCCTTATTTCATCTTAGCTGGTAAGTGTTAAATTTTAGTTCTTTTTCAGCTGATTATATCTTACCTTAGAGAATTGAAAAAAGCATACTTCAATGTTAATAGATTTAAGTTTTTAGTAGATCTTGTCCTGAATTACTATTTAGCTAGTATCCCTGCAGATTGGATGGCTTTAATTAAAGGGGTTGTTTAATTCATAAAATTGGGTCAGTAGATAATTCCTTCTGAGTGAATTTCAGGTTTTCTAGGTGTGACCTCTATGCTGGTGCTGTCATTACACCAAAATCTGCATCTTGTATTAGCTGTGTTGTCATTAACAGCAGCAAGTGCTGGGATAGCGATAGCAGATGTGACGATTGACGCATGTGTTGCACATAACAGTATTAGTCATCCTTCCCTTGCATCTGATATGCAGAGCTTGTGTTCTCTATGTGCTGCAATTGGAGCGCTTGTGGGGTATTCTATTAGTGGTATTTTTGTTCATCTAATAGGACCAAAGGTTTGCATCTGTTCGACTACTTTGTCCGAATCTCTTAAATCAATTCTTTTCTTTTGATTTTAACAAAAGTATGTCTTTCATCCATCATGGATCATCCATGTAGTAGTATGATTATTTTTACTCTTTGAAGATATTTTCCTCTTCCCATTTTAGGGAGTCTACGGCTTGATGACAATTCCATCTGGACTTGTCTTTCTAGTTGGAATTCTGCTCAATGAGCCCCAAGTACCCGACTGCAATTACAAGCAGGTAACCATTGGCTCATTTTGTTACTTCATAATATATTCATATCCTAATTCTATGTTTGTGACTCAGGTGAACCAGAAGTTTCTTGATGCCGGAAAAGCTATGTGGACGACATTGAAATTCCCACATGTATGGAGGCCTTGTTTATACATGTACCTATCATTTGCATTGAGTTTGAATATCCATGAAGGATTGTTCTATTGGTATACAGACTCGAAAGCTGGTCCAGCTTTCTCTCAGGTATTATGCTTGAACCTGTTAACATAAACCGAGCATATATCTGGGGTCATGCACAATTATATCAAAACCTGTATGAAGTTATGGATAACTCTTGGTGAAAGATACTGACTTTATAATTTTTCTTACAGTTGATGACTAAATATTTTCTTGAACTCTTGTTAAATTATCACTTGCCTAGGACAAGCAAACAAATAAAATTTACCTCTCACGTGCTTAATGCAGGAAACTGTAGGATACATACTCTCGGTTGGTCCAGTCGGCTCCATTTTGGGCACCATACTCTATCAAAATTCTTTGAAGGATTGCCCCTTTCGGGACATACTATTTTGGGCTCAGTTACTTTCTGGTTTATCTGGAATGCTAGATTTGATGTTGGTATTACGATTGAACTTGGCTTTTGGCATACCAGACTTTGTAGCCATTGTCATTGATGAAGGTGTCTCAAGACTGGTTGGCCAAATGAAACGGATGCCTCTTCTTGTACTCAGTTCGAGGCTCTGTCCCCGTGGCATTGAAGGAACTTTCTTTGCTCTTCTTTAGGTCGATTGACAATGCTGGATTCCTCTCCTCATCATGGTTAGGCGGCCTGCTACTCACTTGTTGAGTTACACGTACACAATTCGCGAATATGGCTGGCAATTATAATTCGAAACATTGAGAGTTACTCCACTTTGTATACTATTTTTGGTTCCCAGAGGTGATCCACATTCTTCCTTCCTTCCGATGAGTTCCAAGTGCAGAAGAGGCGTCCGAAGCTCTAGACCTGAGAATATTGAGTTGGTAGCCCTGTTAACAGTGTTGATGATGGTAGATAGCATGAACAAGAAAAGAATCATTCACATTATAATTAAAATTTCTGCTTCTTTTAGAAGCAAAAACTACTTGAGAATGAAGGGATCTAAATCATAAACATCATGCAACTGCAAGGCAGCCTCATTACAGGCTGCTTCTTCAGCAACAATACATTCATTGAGCCTCAAAATTCAACGTGACACCATAGCTATTAGGATCAACTATCAAACTATGTAATGAACTTTTTTTTTTTTTTTGAAAAATATTTTTAGAATATAATTTACAAGATGAGTTAATCATGTCAATTGTTAAATTACTTTATTTCCTATGTATAAGTCTATTTATCTTGGCAGAAAGAGAAGACGTGAGAATTGAAATATATTTGTTTTGTATGTGACGGGCATGTGAGGTAAGTTTTTTTTTTTTTGGGGAAATCCACAAAGTGGGACTTGAACACTTTCAGACAAGGCTTTCGTTCACATGCCACGTCATTTGAGGACAGGAAGTGGCAACAGGATCTACAGATCGTGTCCCAACTACTTCACAGGACAACCAAATTCAGCCACGTGTCTATCAAGTCTTGGCCAAGTGCGTGATGATGACATACTCCCTGTTGATTATCCACAAATCTTAGTCTAAGTCTTAACATAAGTACCAAATTCAAACCCTATGGGTCCTACTTCTTCTCTTTAGCTCTTTTGATTGGTCTACTCAGCCTTAGAAGTCTCGCCGTAGATTAAAACAAAAAAGAAAAATAAAAAATATTTGGACAAGTAGGCTACTTCGTTTAGAGCTGGTTGGTCAACAATGTTACAGAGAGAAAGTCTTCTACATGAAACTTCTGTGTTTTGGATCTGCATTGAAACTTTCTACTCTTGCTGTTTTTGTATTTGAGAACGTTTTAGAGAGTATTTAAGGGTGCAATTGATTATATTATCACTTGAAATAAGCTTCGTCTTGTCGTCAAACTGGGTGTGTTGAAATTTTGATACCACACACCAAATGTCAAACTGAAGAAAAGTAAGATCAGAAAGCACTGATTTTTAGTTGAGTTGTTGGTTATGTTTGTTTTATGTGAAAGATACCATTTTTGGAGGATTTTAGTCAGTTTCAAGGTACAGAATGGGAAACTCTTAGTTTTAACTGGGTGGTCGTTGACTCGTTTTTGTTCTTGAAGCTGCTTTCGGTTCATTTATTGGAGAAAAGACAATCCAATGTCATAGATTCTTTATTTCCTTTAATGGTGAGGACTTCGGCTAGAAGATAATTAAATTTAGAAAGATAGATTTTTGGGGATTCTTTAGATTTTTTGTTTGGAAATTAAATTATGGGGAGGAAATGAATCTGGAAGCCTGGAGAGGCTAAAGAGGAAAATGAATCCCAAAAAGGAAGGTGTGTGAATGTTTGGACTCCAATTGATTGGATCAAAATGCTTGCTACTGAAATGCACTGGATTTTGTGTTTGGTGTTGTGGTGTTTATGGAATCAGCCAGGGATTAGGTGGAGCTCTTGTTCGTGTTGGGACTGAGATTACATGAAGGATGTTCAAAAGGTGCAGCCTTCTGAGGCTCAGGTCTATTCCGGATACCTCAATTCCTTGGATTGTCAAGCTCTTTGGGGTCTTCTCACTGATGTTCTCATACGGGTACCGAAGACGCCCTTATCTTCTTAGCTGGTAATGTATTAAATTTTAGTTCTTTTTGAGTGATTATTCTTACTTAAGAGATGAAAAACTCATACTCAATGTTAATAGATTAAGTTTATTATTGTTATAGATCTTGTCCTGTATTTAGCTATATCCCTGCAGACTGGATAGGTTGTTTAATTCATAGAATTGGGCAGTAGATAATTCCTTCTGAGTGTGAATTTCAGGTTTCTAGGTGTGACCTCTATGCTGTGTTGTCATTACACCAAAATCTGCATCTTGTATTAGCTGTGTTGTCGTTAACGCAGGAAGTGCTGGGATAGCGATGCAGATGTGACGATTGATGCATGTGTTGCACAGAACAGTAGTAGTCACCCTTCCCTTGCATTGATATGCAGAGCTTGTGTTCTCTATGTGCTGCAATTGGGGCGCTTGTGGGGTATTCTATTAGTGGTATTTTTGTTCTCTAATAGGACCTAAGGTTTGCATCTGTTCAACTACTTTGTCCAAATCTCTTAAATCGGTTTTTTCTTCTGATTTTAACAAAATTATGTCTTCATCCATGTAGTAGCATGATTATTTATCCCTTTTGGGAGTCTACGGCTTGATGACAATTCCATATGGACTTTTTTTCTAGTTGGAATTCTGCTCAACGAGCCCCAAATACCGACTTCAATTACAAGCAGGTAACCCTTGGCTTATTTGTTACTTCTAATATATTCATTCCTAATCTATGTTTGGACTCAGGTGAACCTGAAGTTTCTTGATGCCGGAAAAGCTATGTGGACGACATTGAAATCCCACATGTATGGAGGCCTTGTTTATACAGTACCTATCATTTGCATTGAGTTTGAATCATGAAGGATTGTTCTATTGGTATACAGACTCGAAAGCTGGTCCAGCTTTCTCTCAGGTATTATGTTTTAACCTGTTAACATAAACCAGTTACATCAAAACTGTGATAAATATTTTCTGGAACTCTTGTTAAATTATCACTTGTCTGGACAAGCAAACAAATAAGATTGACCTCTCACAGCTTAATGCAGGAAACGTCGGTACATACTCTCGGTTGGTCCAGTTGGCTCCCTTTGGCAGCAATACTTATCAAAATTCTTGAAGGATTGCCCCTTTCGGACATATATGTGGTTAGTTACTTTCTGGTTTATCCGGAATGTGAGTTGATTTGGATTCGGTTGAACTTGGCTTTTGGCATACCGACTTTGTAGCCATTGTCATTGATGAGGGTTCAAGATGGTTGGCCAAATGAAATGGATGCCTCTTCTTGTACTAGTTCAAGGCTCTGTCCCCCTGGCATTGAAGGAACTTTCTTTGCTCTTCTTATGTCGATTGACATGCTGGATCCCTCTCATCATCATGGTTCGGTGCCTGCTACTCCACGTTGTGAAGATTACACGTACACAATTCATAACTTATGGTGGCAATTATAATCCGAAACATATTGAGATTCACTCCACTTTTGTATATTTTTGGTTCCCAGAGGTGATCCGCATTCTTCCTTCCTTCCAGCTGAAGTTCCAAGTACAGAAGAGGCGTCCAAAGCTCAAGAACCTGAGAATATTGAGTTGGTAGCCTTGTTAACAGTGTTGATGATGGTAGATAGCGTGAACAAGAAAAGAATCATTCATTTTATCATTAAATTTCTGCTTTGGAGAAGCAAAAAATCACTTTGAGAAGAAGAACATTACAGGCTTCTTCCCAGAACCATACATTCACAGAGCCTCAAATTCAATGTCCAGAGCTGCCATGACAATATCAATACTATGTAATGACTTTTTTTTTTTTTTTTTTTGGAAAAAAATATTTTGAAGTTGTTGTCAAATTACTGTATTCCCACGTGTAATGCTATTTATATTAGCGACAACAGAAGACGCGAATATTATTAACTTCGTCGTGATTCAACTTTTATAATTTTAATATCTGAAAATGGGTTTGATATAATATCGAAAAATAATTTATTTTAATATTAAATATTAAAAATAAATTAATTTGGAAAATATATTAAATATTGTATTTTGTTAAAAAAAAAATAAAAAAAAAACTTGCGTGGAGGTCTCTGAATGGTGAAACCTATGTGAATCGATTGGACTTGGTATTGGGCCAATAGCTGAATCAGCTTAAAAAGTACTTAAATTAAAAGAAGAAAATAAAAAAGCGTATAAAAGAGGGAGATTGTCTCTGTAACCAAACAGCAATTGCCCTTATTCCGGATTAGGGTTAAACTCGTCTCCCCATCTCTGTTGTTGCGCGCCAAACTCCGTGTCTGTATAAACATCAACTCATCAATAAAGTAAAAACTTTTTTAACCATTCTCTGCTTTCACTCACTCTCTTTAACTCAATTTCTTCATTTGATTCCTTATTTTTATTCAATTTCAATTCGAATTTTGCTTTTATTTATACTTTTTTTTTGGTCAATTGTTTGTTTCATTGAATCAATATCTTGAAAATCTATTTTTATTATGAATTTTCGGCTATTTTGATCCGAATTTTGGTTCATTAAGTGTTTCTGTAGCCAAATTGAAGTCTTATAGTGCCATCTAATGTGAGGTAAATAGGGGTTAATTAGTGTGGATTGATTAATATATATTATTGGAATGTTTTTGTCTTTTAATTTGTTGTCAATACAAAGCTCTTATATTTATGTGGTTGAAGTTGCATTTTTTAGTTTGAAGCTGTACTCTTATGGGGTTTTCGTTTACTGTTTTAGTGATTTAATGACATTTATTGTTGTTTAGTAGATAAAAACATTCGGTTGAAGCATTTTATGTGTATTGGCGCATTACTCTGTGAAGTTGTTATGCATGACTATTAGAATTGTGTCAAAGATTATTGATTTTGAGAGTAAAGTATGGGGTGGTTTGTTGATCTTTTAAGTTTGTAGGAGAAAGAATGGCTAGTCAGGTGCCAACAACCAATGACCGGTCGAGGACTTACTGGACACCGACAATGGAGCGGTATTTTGTTGATCTTATGTTAGAACAGATGCACAGAGGTAACAGAATAGGCCATACATTCAACAAGCAGGCATGGACAGACATGCTTACCATGTTCAATGCAAAATTTGGATCTCAGTATGACAAAGATGTCTTAAAAAGTCGTTATACGAATTTGTGGAAGCAATTCAATGATGTAAAGAATCTTCTTGATCAGACTGGATTTTCTTGGGATGAAAATCGGCAAATGGTGGTTGCTGATGATTATGTCTGGAATGCTTACATTAAGGTCCCATTGCTTTCTATTCAAGTATTCATCCATATCATGAAAATATCTGTGCCATATTGGTGAAATAACATATAAATGCAGGCTCACCCTGACGCACGATCCTACAAGACTAAAGCCTTGCTGAATTTTACTGATTTGTGCTTGATATATGGGTATACAACTGCTGATGGAAGATACAGTCTATCAAGTCATGATCTAGACTTCGACGATGAAGTCCAAGGAATAAATATGGGTTTGTATCCTTTTCTTTTAATGAACCATGATAGACATTGGTTGTATTCATTTGGACATAAAAAGTAATTCATCCGCATTCTTTCTTTATAATCTAGTTGTTGCTGTTTGTCTAAATTTATTAGTGAAGCTCTTAATCACCAGGGTTAAGGATGAGAAAAGTTAATTAAATAAATTAATAGAGGAAAAAGCTGTGAGTTTCCGTACTGTGCTAATGCGTGACCAGATCAGGAAGCATACTGAAATTCAGTCCATGGTTTTGCCCAAAAATGGCTGCTTAAATTTCCAAAATTGCAAATGGTCTTGATGCCACTTCTTTGGCATACTTCTGGTTGCTAGCCAGAATTTATTGTAAAGCCAGAAATAGGTTATCTGCTCAGTTTGCTGTGATCTACTTGAAACAATCACCAGAAGTAAATGCAGCTTGTGGGCCCTAGTGAAAATTTCACCCAGTGTACCAATGATTATGAGCTGTCTGAAATGTGAATGTCTCTTGGCTGCTTGTGATATTTAATTCTCCAGTGCATTAATGGATGAGGTGGACTATTTGCAGTAAAGATTAATACTTGGATAATATTCATCAATTGATAGGTGATGGAATGGGCAGCCTTGGCCCTATAAGTAACGAGCGTTCACGGACAGAGTGGACAGCAGCTATGGACCAGTATTTCATTGAGCTTCTGCTGGACCAAGTTGGAAGAGGCAATAAGACTGATAATACATTCAGCAAACAAGCATGGACGGACATGCTTGACTTGTTCAATGCAAAATTTTGTTCACAACATGGCAAAAGAGTGTTAAGACATCGATACAAGAAATTATGGAAATATTTTAGTGATGTGACGGTTATTCTGAAACAGGATGGTTTTTCTTGGGATGAAACACAACAAATGCTTGCAGCCAACGATGCTGTTTGGGATGCTTATATCAAGGTACACGGGTTGGAAAATTTTGTCATTCTTTTATCTTTTATACTTTCTTTAATAATGGGTATATACATAAATTGAACGTAGGCGCATCCACATGCTCGGGCATACAGGATGAAAACCTTGCCAAATTACACTGATTTGGCTCTTATATACGGGGATGCAGTTGGCAATGAAATTAGCAGTCGTTTGCATCAGGACAATGAGCCGGAGAGTGGCAATGTAGGAATAAAGGCTGGTGAGTTACTGTTATTTTTCACTAAGTTTTGATTACTTCTGTTTGAAATTCTTGCATATTTGTAGGATGTAAAATTTGGTCCACAATCTCTTGCCGACAGTCTCATGGTGCAAAATATTTTACTCTTACAAACAGTTTTTAGTGTCTGTAGGTGAAGGAAAAGGGAGCCAAACCCCTACTGGTAATGATCGAACAAGAACATATTGGACACCACCTATGGATCGTTATCTCATTGACTTATTACTAGACCAGGTGCGCAGAGGAAACAAACTTGGCCAGACTTTCATAAGTCAGGCTTGGAGCGACATGATTACATCCTTTAACGAGAAATTCCTTTCTCATCATGACAAAGATGTTTTGAAGAACCGGTACAAACATTTGAGGAGGCTTTACAATGAAATAAAGAATCTTCTTCAGCACAGTGGATTCTCATGGGACGAGACACGAGATATGGTAACTGCTGAAGATCATATTTGGGATGCTTATATTAAGGTGTGCTGCTCTCTATTTTAATTAGATTATAAGAATTACTGTTCTTCTGTCTCTTACATATTGCACATTCAGGAACATCCTGATGCTCGATCATATAGAGTGAAAACTGTGCCAAGCTATCTTAAACTTTGTGTGATATTTGGAGAAGAAATCTATGATGGAAGATACAATCGTTTGGCTCAAAATATAGACTCCAACTGTGAAATTCCTGTTCTCATGACTGGTAAATATTTTATTTGACTTGTGATAATTTGATTGGATGTTTTATTGATCTGGGGCAAAAGAATCAGATCTTGAATTTGAATCCTCTTAGAGTTACAGTGCTCCTCTTGAAAACCTACAAAAACAGAACTGTCTCCTGAAACAGAATAATATTTTAAATGCCGTAATGATACTGCTTTTTTTTTTTTTTTCCTTTAACCACATACTTTAGAACTTAAGCATGATTCCTGGTCGTGGAAAGAGTTTGAGCTCCATCTATTTGGAACTGTTTTAATGCTTAGATGAATAGCATGTTCAAAGTTTTGTCAATTTTGCAGGTTTTGAAAAAAATGACCATCTCATTACCAGTATTGACCCTTTTGAAACTGGATGGACACCATTAATGGAACGTTATTTTATTGACCTTATGTTGGAGCAGTTGAATGAAGGAAATAAGATTAATCACACTTTTAATGAGCAATCATGGGTTCACATGGTTGAAGCATTCAATGAGAAATTTGGACTTCAGTGTGACAAATACATTCTAGAAAATCAGTACATCTACCTGATGAAACAGCATGAAGACATCTGCAATCTTCTCCAGCATAGCAGGTTTTTCTGGGATGAAGCTCAACAAATGATAATCAGTGATGACATTGTCTGGGAAGCTTATATCAAGGTGTCACTGTATTATCCTGGCCCTATTCCTCATGTTCACTGCTAAATAACTCATGTTCCAGAGGCTGTTACTTGTAACCACATTCTATTGATTATCTTACCTTCCTGCATAAGACTATCGATTTGACAATAGAACTGAGATGTCATTTTTCCAAATTCAACTTTTGTTGTTCCTTCTATCATTTGTTAAGTTTGTGTATTTAATTTTGCAGGACTATCCAAACGCAGCCTCCTACAGAAATAAGTACTTGGGCAATTTTGGTGATTTATGCAAGATTTATGGGAATGAAGTGTCAAATGGAGGACAAGAAGGGCAGGATATAGGAGTTGAGAGTCATAATGATACACTTGAACTAGAAATAGGAGTCTCTGGAGAATTACAATGTTGGGGTGAAGATGATCAAATATCCGATCAACATAGAAAGCGGCCAATTTCATTGCCATCTGTCCCTGGACAGTCGAACAAAGTGCAGAAAACTGGCAAGGAGATGCAAAATGGCGTTTCTGAGATGACCGGCATACCCACATCATTAGTGAGCAAGAAAGGGAATAAGAACCACATAGCAATAGAAAGTGCTATTAATGCACTTCAAGCTATACCAGATATAGATGATGAGTTATTGCTGGATGCTTGTGATCTCTTAGAAGATGAAAGAAAAGCAAAGACGTTCGTAGCATTGGATTTTACATTGCGAAAAAAGTGGTTACTTAGAAAGCTTCGCCCATAGTAGCAGCCTTTCAGATTTTGTGTAACAAAATTTTATCTTGCCATAACTCTCATCTTTTAGTTCACAAGGTTTAAGGTATGGACCTAGATTAGAAAAGTTTGTTTGAGCAGAATTAGATTTTAGCATTGTAAACAAATTTTGTAGCATATATGATATATCCCAGTGGAGTATCATATTATTTGCTTGTGACACAATATGATAAAATATACAGAGGTTATAGCCTCAGCCTGTATAGTGTATATATTATCCAAAGAACATCGAAAATATGCGTTGCAGCGACTTGAATTAGTTTAATTACTTCCACTCAAGGCCGTTTGTTCAACAAATCAATTAAAATCCATCTATTACTGCTGCCTGATTGAGAGCTTTTTAGTGGCATCGAAATGGTCGCAGTGCATGTAACTAGAGAAGCCTTAAAATAGAGAGCTTGATAAATTCCCAAAAAAAAAAAAAAAAAATTTAATTACTAAATTATAACCATGATGCATAAATCTTACAAGAACATTTGACTACAAAATGTTTTGCAAGAGACAGATTTCCTCTCACAAATTGTCACTGGGAATAAATGTTAAAGTTAATTATTCACATCATTTGAAAATAGATTTTCCATGTCATAGACCCAGAAACTTTGATGACCCAAAAGATGTGAAGACACTCTCAACTCTTTCTTCTTAAGTAGCAACAAACTTAGCCTGTTCCATAAGCCATAAGACTCATTTTATCCGTCTCCTTCTCTCCCTATCCCTGTCCCTGCTTCGGTCTCTGTCGTGATCATCCCTCTCTTTGCTTCCACTCTTTTCACGACGTTCTCTCCCCCTTTCACATTCAAAATCATGAGCTCTATCTTTGTCCCTATGCCTTTCCCGATCTCTATCTAAATCACTTTCCTTCTCCCTCTCCCTGTTTGATTTCCGTGGTGGGCTCTCACTTCGGCTCTGGCTGCGGCGTCGTTTTCTTAAAGAGTCACGAGCATCGTCCCTTCTATCCCTCCTCTCTGCAGATTCAAAGAGAAAACCAATAGACGTGTTAGTTTAACCTTAGTTAAACCTCCAACCAGAATTTAATGAAGAAAAATTAAGCTTTACTTGTGACATAAAATTCCTAAACAGGTACATAAACAGCAAATTTTCCAGATGTCATCAATGGCCTCTAAAACAGTATGTACTAATTACCTAATCATAAAATCATAAATAGCAGAAAAGGCAATACATAAATAGCACAAAAACTAAACCAGTATTTGAAACAAAGACAGTGGTAGGATATAAATTTAATCAACATTATATCAAACAATAATACTACACTCACAACCTTTTTATACAAACTCTCTCACAAAGTTATGTGAGAGAAATAAACTTTCACACAATCATCTTTTGCCATATAGATTTGTGAGAGAAAGTTTGTATAAAAAAGGTTGTGGATGTAGTATTACTCCATATCAAAAGAATCAGTCTCGCTTATAGGCACATACTGTTCCCGCCTTCATTAGAATCTGATAGGCCATACTCAGACTCTAGCCGCTTGCGATGGATTGCAACTTTCTTCTCGATTTCCTCAGTACTTTTGATACCCCGCTCCTCAAGGGATTCACGATACTCTATAATAGCAACTTCCAAACGTCTCAACTTTTGTCTGCAGTAACATAAGCACAGTCAGGCATCACAAAGGAAATAATGGGTTACAGAATAGCAAAAAGTCGGATTTCGAAGAAGACTCAATGGAATCATCAAATTTGTTTCGCATGGAAACAAACTTCTACCTTCACTTAAAAGGGAAGGAGGAAGGGGTGGTGTAATAAACTGTCTTGTAAAACCAAAAAAGAAAATCAGCATTAACTAAGCTACTTTATTTCTAAGAACAAAAATTTAAGCTAAGAGAGGGAGGCGGAAATACAACACGACCTTTGCTCTTCATTCATTCCACTGTCAGATTGTACAAGAATGCTGGTATCAGTCGCAAGCTCCATGTCATCAGCCTTGCTAAGACCATCACCAGCATTCTCACTTCCAGAAGAAGAGTAGCTCAACCCCAAACTTCTCTTTTGTTCGTCATCACTTTCATCATCCTCAACAGCCCATTTTGAGGCTGGAAGAACAGGATCATTTTTCTCTTTTTTTGTGAAAGGCTTTAGCTCAGGCTGTGGAATAGGTATGGTTGCAGCCAAAGGTACAGAACCTGCGCCCTGTGACAGCTTCTCATCCTCCCCATAACGGTTCCATCCTGAAAATCCCACTGGCTCAGGTTCAACATTCATTTCTTTCCGACCACTTGGATATCTGCCAGAAGTTGAATGGCCCTGACCAAGTTTCAAGTCATCATCCAGTTCGTAGCCCCTCTGCTTTTCAGCATCTTCCAGGCTCAGCAATCGTGCAACCATTATTTCTCTACCACCAACAAGAGACAATCCATTATGTCTGCAACGTCTTTCAAGCTCAGCAATGGGAAGGTCCATTAACTCCTTCATAGCTGCACTTTTGCCCATTGCCAATGCAGCATCTTGGTTGGCTTTACCCCCATCACTTGTATTTTCAGAACTAGTTTTCTTTTCTATTTCTGAAGCATCACCACTGATAGAATGAAAAGGAGTCACACCTGAATTCCCGGACCGAAGAAACGTAGCTCGTAATCCATTCACATATGCATCTGAAAACAGAAACCAATCTGACCATACTTGCAATACTTTCAAAACTCGTTCCTGCCGAAACTCAAATAATTATCACATCAAAACCAGAAGCAGAACAAATGAAAAATACAACAGGAAGTCAAAATGAAAGTTGCCATTACTGCTCACCTTTAGGGCCTCAGCAGTAATCCTTCCAGTTATACTACGATACAAGTCATTAAAGCTCTCCATTATGTCAGGTAATGTTGCTTCAAATTTGGTACGGTAAGCAGATGCATTTTTTACAGGAGCACTGCTATTGTGGAGAACATCAGAGACGAGCATGAGCCTAGCTACTTTGGTTGGAATAGGGGTCTCCTTAAGAGTCAATGATTCTGTCAGGACTTCGACTATCTGCAAGATAAAAACCACCAAATACGTCTAAATTTCACAGTGAAGAGCTCAGGAGATGACATGCAGAACTGATCTATTCAAAACTCTCACGCTCAAGTTAACAAAGCTCTGTTCATGTTCTCAAAGTTCAATAACATCTCATGGATATGTCATTGAGGCAAAAGCAGTCGAAAGTCCACAAAAGAATGATTGCAACTATCATATGAACAAATGAGAACACCGTGCCAAATACCAGATTTGTGATTTCTTTGTAAACGCAAGTTACCTCTCCAGCGGCATCAGCATTATCTAGGGAAAAACCCATAGCTTCTTTTATCAGACTTCTCTCCAGTGTTAATGCACGTAGCATGTCCTCGAATTCATCCCTCTGTGAATCAGTTAATGTTCTTTCTGGTTCCACACGCTGGAAATGTTAATGAGGAAAATGAATTATGAAATGACTAAGAAACTATAATCTACAATTATGTAACGCAAAAGAAGAATTATTTAATTATCCAGGCCAAATTATGACAAGCACCCTGCTTCTTCCTGCAGCAAATGTGGTGCCAGACTCCTTTTCATGCTCTGGGCTTTTTGCAATCGGCAGGGGGGGTGGCATCCATCTGGTAAAAGCAAGTAATATCACGTGGTTAATACAGCATAGTAAATTGATAAATTCAAAAACTTCTAAGGTAATTAGACACAGAATCACACTGAAACATGATGATGGAATTCCATTACCTTCCACTGCCAGTTATCATGATAAAAGGTTCTGTTCGCCACCTTTGAAGAGTATCACCCTGCAGATACAAAACAATTCAGTTCAAAGACACATATATCAACACAGTTGTACCCTCTATCACAGAATTGACATGCACTATTACAACTGTCAACTTCACAAGTGCAATAACAGTAACGGCACCATCATAGTCTGAGAAGTATTAATTATTATTATGCCCAAAATTCTAAAACAATCTTGAGAATCAGAGATATTTATTTAGTCATACAACAGAATATACCTGTGCAAAAGAGTATAACCTCCAAACATAGTAAGTATGCTCCTTTGACCCAAGCTCAAACAAGAAGTTAAAAAGAGGATTCCCACGACCCCTTTCCATAATAGCTTGTTCAAAAGCACATCCTCCATCCAAAACATAAAGAGCCATTGTATCAATCACATGCTGTAGATGATGATCCTCTGGTGGAACAACCATTATATCAGGAACATTTGGTGTAAGAACCTGGGCAACCCAATCAAGTGATCAGCAGAATGTACTAATTTAGAAAAAAAAAAATCAGTTTAAAGACGAAGTACATATAAACTCTATATACTCTATTATGTGCAGTTAGCAACTTTTACAAAACCATGATTCATGGAAAATGTAGAGATGAAGATGGGCCAATCTGCCAAACGTCACTTAAGACACTTAATCAAACCTTGATGGTTTACTCTCAAGCATTCAGCAAAGAAAAAAAGGATGGTAGACCAGACAATAAAGAAAATTAATCCTATCCAGAAATTCCAATCACCTACTTAAAATTTGTGCAGAAAAAAAGAAACAAAGGGCCATAAAATACCTAAGCCATAAGGCAATTCATGGTTAAAATAATGATAACCCAAAGAGTTATTTCTCCTTGATTAAAAAGATCAAGTATCACATCAACCCACAAACAACTTGGCCAACAAAATATCATGAGAGAATATAATGAATCAAGAAACCAAACAACTATAGCATTGCATATAAACTAAGGTCTATTTTTAGGAATCAGGAGAAACACTAATTGCCTTGAAGGACCATATATGAAAATAGATCTCAAAAGCAGAAAGTTACAGCTCAAAAGTAGCATAGTATTCCAAGATCCAATGACAGTATTAAAAAAGAACATAAAAGAAGTCCTATAAAAAATAATAAATAAATAAGAAAGTGCATTAACTCAAAACAGAACATAAGGAACCCAGATGCCAGCAAAACAGATTCACTAAGGATTTCACGTTGCGATTTATTACATATTCATAATGCATACAGCTGTAAAACAATACCAACAGAATTAAATCTTACCAGTTCAGAGTTCTGATTTGGAACAGAAGTCACTGGTGGACCTGATGGACCAGATAAGATCACGGTAGCACCCTGTCACAACAGAATCAAACATGCTTCAGGAGTACTAACATAGATAATTGAGCAGCTTTTGTAAATTGACCAGTCACGCTTAAGATCCCAATATAGCAATACTAGACAATTCTTCATTAATGTTTGAAAAATGTGTCCCAAAGCATCAATTTAATGGGAAAAATGGATCTATAAAATAAGAAAAACAAACTTTCAAGGTTCTACTGAAAGCATAACATACCTCCTTACTCCTGATGGCCATCTGTCCAGGCGGAGGAGCAGGTAGTGCTTGTGAAGGAAGGGCGACAGATTTTCCCCATCCAATCTTCAACTCGTACTCATAAACAACAACTCCTATAACAGAAAATATATCTATTCAGTCTCTCTTGTCATTTCATTAACCGAATGCATGTAAAAATAGTTGTTGCCCGAGAGCATTCAGCAGAATCATAAAATATTAAAATCTTCAAATAATGTTTCCACATTTCCCAGAAGATTAAAATCAATCATATACAAAACTATCATTTTTGCCATACAAAGTCATTTATAGAACATAAAGAGCCATCTATCTAATGTTATAATTGCACACGTAAGATCCAATTGATAAATGATCAAAAGTTTGAATGCCATACTAATAATCTCATACCACAGCAACTATAACTTGCAGGAAGAGAGCCCAAAAATACACCTTTTTATCCTTCAATATAAATTAGAAAAAAAGATGGCAACCAAGAGCAGCAGTGTCCATGATTTCATGTCATATATATAAATCCACCATTCCCAAAAGCACAATTGCATAAACATAGACGTTTACGAGACAGCAAAATTTCTCTGATATTATACCTACCTAATGAAGAGAATACACAAGTATAGCATATAAAAAATGATATGCACTATTTCTTTTAAAAAAAAAAAAAAAAAATTAATGAAGATCTATAAAACCGAACCTTGCATTTCATCTTTTGCAGCCTGCCCATCGGCTCTATTCATAAAGGCTACAAAGCCACAATTTCGTTGCCGTCTTCGCTCCTCTTCTGTTCTTGGCCACATTATTTTCACACTAGCAATAGGCCCAAATCTTCCAAAAGTCCGCAGAAGAAAATTCTCATCAACCTAGATAAATTAGACAATAATTACTATCTCCGGTCTGCAAAGCCGACCCACATTGGAGTAATGACACAAGGACTTAAAAATTAGAAAACCACCTGTGGGGAGAGATTTCCAACATACAGATTTGTAGTCTGTGGATCACCATCATCGAATGATCCAGGAAGCTTTCCACTTGGATCAAAGTCATCGGGCAGCTCATCGAATCGGCTAGATGGCTGAAAAAGATAAAACTTAGTAACATGTTCATTTATGTTTGAGATGAATACGTGCTAAGTGTAAATCAACATCTAACAGGGAAAAATCTGATAAAAATATATATTAAAATGAGTATGTGGTACAGATACATGCATTTGCAGCAACGCAAAAGACTTCTAAAGCACAAACACTTAGATCATTAAGTACACAAACTACACAATGGATACATGTAAGGATATGTCTACGCATCTGCATAAGAATAAAGGATGCAGACCATGCTTGAACATGATTTATGTATTGACACACAAAACAAATTTTGGAGGTGGCAGTAGAAAAAGAGAGAAAACAGTAATGCACCAATTTCTTTTAGTAATCTTTGCACTATAATCAGATGAAATTAAAATTGCTAGTATTCATAGATTTAAATAACCCACAACAATCCAAAAGAAAAACACTTACAGCAGAACTTTCACTATGACGCCCGTCACGCCAATGTTCACGTTCCTGATTTCGCCTCTCCCTCATCTCTTGTTCATGCTTCAACTCCTCCATGAAATGATCTATGTTCCGAGACTTCCCTTTCTCTTTCTCCTTCTCCTTCGGCCTATCCTCCTCCTTCTACATAATATATGCCAAAATTTAGAATTAACTATGCATATTACAAGACCAGAAAACTAACTTGGGAACAATATAAATGAGTGCTACAAATACTATTAGAATACTAACCTTCTTTTCTGATTCTTTTCCCTTGGCCGCCAAAGGAGGTGGAATAAAAGATGGAACATACCTGCATAAATGATATCGCGATAAACTTCCATGACACCAAAATCTCCCATGTGTTTCCCTGTTCTATTTATATGAGAACAAGACTTCTCTACACCATTCTTTGGGATAATCTCTAGGTTGATTTTCTATATGTATTATTGCTGCAAGTTTTTTATGTGCATTAAGCACTGCCAAACACAACTAAATATACGTCTTTATCAAATTTTCATTAACGTGAATACTTGCAAATAAACTAGTTTATAATTTGATGAATCAAATCATTCTTATCATATTTGACAAACAAAAGGCAATTAATGTGCTCAAAGAGCATTTTTCAGTATCTATAACATCATTCCTTTTTCTTTTTCTTTTTATTGATAGGAAACATAGATATCCATATTAATGTAAAAAAACTTAGATAGTGAATCAGAAATCCACCTCTACAAATCTAAAAAGGGGCTGAAGCTTTAAAAAGAGTACCATGAACCTGTGAAAAAAGAAACCCAAAAAAAGAGAAATGCTATGGCATGGACAAATCCTAAAATACCAAATCAACTTACTACCACTAAACAACTAGGATAAAAAAGATGTCCTGAAAGTCTTTTGAGAAAGAAGCTCAAAGAAATGCCAAAAACTTGATCTTGTCCCACATCAATCCTTGATAAGATTATTTACCATAAAATACGTCTGGAAATGCAACAAAAATAGTTCCCTCAACACTTAAATAAATTTCTTCCTTTCTCATAATACTCTGCACAACTAGAGATAGGATAAACTACAAACTATGGTCTCATGCAAATCATGGCTCACAATAGGGGTGGACGGGTCCGGGTACTTGCCCAAATTCAAAGGAACCGCAACCGCAACCGGCCGGTTCCTTGGATTTAGAACCGAAACCAGTTCCAGTTCCGGTTCCGGTTCCTAGAAGCCAGGAATCAGAAATTCAAACATAGGTTCCAGTTCCGGGTACTCGGATTAACTTTATTTACCCCTCACTTTTAAAAAAAAGACAAATAAACCCTCTAAAAATTACAAATACACCCCTGATAGTTTACAAAAATTACAATTATGTCCCGTTTCCTACCCGGAAACCCAGATCTCGGTTCCGTTTCCTGCAGGGGTGGAACCAGAACAGGCCAGTTCCTGATTTCTACAACCGGAACCCACCCTATGAGGGCCGGTTCCAGGTAGGAACTGAAATCAAAACCCCGGGTTCCAGCCGGTTCCAGCTGGTTCTTTTGCACACCCCTAGCTCACAGTAACATGAACTTCTCAACTGGGCAAACTGCAATGCCCCAAAAAAGGAATAGATATCTTACTCTTCTTGAGCAACATATGAATTCAACAATAGTCTTTGCAACAAACATCAACATTGACACAACCACTACAAAAAGTCCTAAGTGAAGTGTCCTAATGGCCCAACCCATCAGAACATTAGCATAAAAGAGAACAATAAGAATAGAATATCAATGGAGAAGTGTGAATTCCAAGTTCTAGAATCTCCAATATTAATACAAAGGAGAGCAATCCATAAACATACATAAATTACAAACAAGATGAGAAAAAGAAAATAATAAAAGGCCAAGAAATGGCAACTTCTTAATTACCAAAACTTAGAATTTCTTTCTCCAGATAATTTTTTTCATATACTAACATGCCAGCATCAAAAGAAAGATTCTGCGCAACCTAATGTCTTCAGCTATAATGAATAACAAAATAAAATTCTCCAAGTTTGTTATATTTAAGACCTCGGTAACAAAAGGCTATATCTGAGTATTAACCAATTTTTTTCTTATTCATGATGCCTCATCAAAAGCATTAGCACTGTAGCGTAGCATTGTTAATTAAAAGCATTTATTTACCTACTTCCCTTCTTTGGTACAGACACCCCATCTTTGGACTTTTCACCTGCCATCCGCGAATGAATAAGAAAGGTCCATATTTTTATTAATGTGTCCCCATAATAATAGAAAAACTATTCTATTAATCCATAGTGTGAAATGAAAAAAGAATATACATTGACACTGGAAACAGAAATAACTGTAAATATAAGTAATAGCAAAAGGCAAATGTAGAGTTACTTGTTCACACTGACCTTCAGAATCCTTCAATTTATCATTGGGATTGATTGTTCCTCCTCGAACAAAAGACTTTGACCCAGGAGCAGAATCCCCTTGAAATGACTCTACAAACTCCGCATACAACCGAGCTGTTTCATCCTCTGCTCTCTGAGAGCACATATAAAGTTGATACAATCAGACTATTAGTTATTCTAATTTCTTTACCGATCAACACCTATCAGCTTATCAAAACACAATACCCAGGAGCTTGAAATCCAAAATCACATACCTTTTTCTTAGCCTCTTCCTCCTCTCTATGCTTCTGAAAAGGAGTCTTCTTCCGCGTAATAGAGAAGGAACTCATTTTCAAGTAGCCAACTTCTCGTAAACAATTCTGCAATAAATTGGATAGAAATTCAAAACCCATGATAAATCTTTAAAAATACTAATAATAAATCAGTGAACACACCAATCAAAATCTATAAAAATTTTCTGAAAGAGAAGATAAATCTAGGGTTCTGCAGTTTTAATTAAACAATTTTACCTCCACGTAGTGAGTTTCGAAGAATCAATAAGAGAACATAAGCTAATATTAATAGGGAAATTTAGGGTTCGTGGCTCAATCGAAACCAAAAAAAAAAAAAAATTAAAAAAAGAAGTTCAAACGTAATTTGAATATGACAAGCAACAAAACAGGTTGAGGAGCACAAACCTAGTAGAGCGATTCGAACACTGTAACTTCTCAGGGTTAGAGATTGTGGGTTTTGAGTTGAGACTTTGAGACGGAGCTATTGAATCGATACACCATCAGAAGAAATGAGTGTGAAAAAAAAAATTAATAAATTAAATTAAATAAAAGGTTAATTGAAGTGAGACTGCTATATACTTGCATCGTCAGCAGCAAGCACTGAGCCGATTGGGCCACGTGTTTGGGTAGAAACTTCAAGAATTGCATTAGGGCGCGGTAACAAAACCAAACCAAACCCATATACGTGAAATTGTAATGTGTATAACGGCTTGGTTTGGTTGGATTTTGGGAATACTAGTATTCCCAAAAAAGTTAAACAGTAAAATATCTAAAAACTCACAATATTATTTAACTTTATTCAACATTTTTTAAACCTCCTAAATTTGTTAATTCAATTAAATACCCCTAAATATTTTTAATGTTTTTGTTACGGTGACTCCGGCCGCCCTCCGGCGGTGGTGGCCGGCTGTCCATATTTGAGGGTAAATTGAGGGTGTTTTTGTTAACTTTTAATGTTTTATTATAAGGAGTGTTTTGTAAAAAAACGAATATAAGGGGTATTTTACAATTTGTAAATCCTACATCGTAATACCCGACCAATTCAATTTTTTTTAACTTTTTTTCAAAAAACTTTTCCCAAAAATACAAAATTGTGAACCAAACGGAGCCAACGTTATTACAAATTACATGATTTATTACACTGCCACCTATATGGCAATGTAATTATCTCTAAATTACATTTTCAGCGTAATAAACTTATAATAAGTTGTAAACCAGTTTGAGCGCAACTCGGTTAATCTCTCAAGACTTTATAGTCAATGATTAAGTAAACCCTCATCAATAATTAAGTAAACCCTCCAATGACCACTGTTAACAATAGAAAGGAATCATTTTTTAAATGAGTGTCCGAACCCCTTTGCGTATAGTTTGACTAATCCCCCAAAACTCTGAAATTAATAACTGAATAAACCCTTCAATGATCACTCTTATTAAGTATTAACATCCGAGGGAAATCATTTTTATGGTGACCAAAAATGTCTTAACCCAACTTACACATACCTCGATAAATTCCTCGAGACCTTTAAGTTAAAGGTAAACATTCCAATGTTCTTATTGTCTCACCCAACCAGGCCGGTGGTTCATAGATTGTTACTTTCCATCAATGTTTTGCCCACCAACTTGCCAAATGTGTCACTTATATGCCGATGAGGATTGGCAAAATTGACCGCAGGTCAGACATTGGGATCTATAATTCCCAAAATGTTGAAATAAAAATAAAATAACCCACGAATAGGTAAAATAAATATATTCGCAGGTATATCATAAAAAAAAAAAAAAAAAAAAGCAAATTATAGCTCCAATATGAAAGGCCAAGCTTGATAGATGCTGGCTATCTTTCTATAAAGCACACTAATAAAAACAAACACCAGTTTACATTTCACCAGGAACTTCGGCGGAAAGCTACATTTGCTCTTTAGGGAGATACCACAACTGTCAAATATTATACGACCTTCAGTTCAAGAGCACAACAGTCCATAAGACTCTGTTTCTACACTTTGTTCATACCCCTAATGTCGGACAGAAAATTTTGGAAACAATTAGAGAATAAGCTGCCGAATATGTGTCATTTAATGCGCCATTTTCTTAAGGTGTTGAAAGGTTCGCTGTTTGATCCACTGTCTGTCGTATGGCAAATAAGCCTGGACTGAGTGATCATAACTGCAAATATGAGACAAAAAGAAAATTATCAGCTACCCACCAAGCCATCATCAAAAACCAAGACATGCACACAACCTTAATGGCTGAAAATTTTAAAGTTATGCATACCTTAAAGAGTAACAATTAGTTTTTTTCAGTTCTTTATAGTTTTCTGGTTCAGAAATAGGAATATTCTATGGGCAATCCATCAAAGGAGAGACAACACAAATATATGCAGTGAGCTAACCCTTCACTGCTATGGGCCTCAAAGTGCCTCACATGCAATCCAACTCCATTTCTTTAAACAAGATCTCATTTGCTTTTGAAAGTACTTTCTTCGAAAAAAGTACTTCCAAAAGCACAAGCAGAAAAATGTGATAGATATTATAAGCTTGATAATTACTACAGATTTGTGAACGTTGTTCAGTTGCCAGCATCATAGTGCTTATTGAAAAAGAGAAAGGGAAACTTACACTAATGCACTCATGTCTGCAAGGCCATCAATGAAATTGTAAAGATCTGCAACATCATAAGTGATGTCTCTGATGGCTGGATTTAACTCCCTAAGCTTCCTTTCATATAGTCCGCATATACCTGTATATTTCCAGAAGTATAGTCTCTAATGAATATGAACAAGAATATAAAGAACTTCTGATAAGAGATGTATAAACTCTTCATCTCCGGTGAATCAACCGGATATTGCTTAGATCAGACTGTACACTGAATAACACTACACTATTTGTTCACTCATTGACACCTTTGCACATAAAAATGCTTCCTCAGTGGACATAACAATGGTGATGATTAGTGTATAAATACATCAACCTATGTAAAACATACCATCCATAGCTTGACTTATGGAACCATAATCCATAAATGTTCTTGTCGCCCTGTTCTGAGAAGTCTGCATCAGAATAATGGTGTGCTTATTAGCCTGCACACAAGGACAAAAATCATTTTCAGCACATGAACAAGATAAACACATATTAGTGGAAAAGGCTTTACAAAACAGCTGCAAAATAATCCATGAAAGAGCTAACCACTTCCCATAACTCTCCCTTGAAGGAGATATGGTTACCAAATCTCGCCTAAAACTCAATAATCCTCCAACACAAAATCCAGCACAAAATGACACTCTTTAGACTTGCCAAACAAAACATAGTTACTTCTAACAGAAGTCAAGAGACTATCGACACAACTATACAAGTTGACCCTAACCTAAAAGTATTGCCAAGTTTCTGCAGTCAAACAAGCTGCACAACAAAGACTATTAGCAATTCCACTTCCCATTTTTTCTAGATACAAATGTAAGGAAAACTCTATTGTCGCAGCATAAAAAAGAATCAGCCGTCAAACCCTACTTTACATCTCCTAAAACCTAGCCAAAACCAAAACCCACAAGCAAAAAATAAAGCAAAGCTCACAATCCAAACAATTTACTATCAAAAAAAAAAAAAAAAAAAACAGAAGAAGAAGTCGCCTCCAGTCAAACTCCAGTACCTTCAAATAAAGCTGAGACGCATGCCAAAGATCAGTCTGTTCAACGATGGTTAACATGTATGCAAGAATTAAAAATAAAAACTAATACTGACACATAATAATTACTCAAAAATCGGAGAATATTTTCCATTTTTCACCTGGAAACATATAAAAAGCCTTTAATTGAAGAATTTAATGAAACTAGACGTGAAAAAAGAAAGAAGGAAGATAGTAAGGAAGAAAACCCTAGTTCAAACAGGAATTAAAAATTAAGAAAAGTACAGTGAAATTACTACAGTAGATCACAATCAGAAGAGGCGAAAAATAGCAGATTACCATTTTAGATAAAGAGGGAGAGCGGATTCTCGGCTTCTCAGGGACTGAGAGAGAGATGGCGTGTGGCTACAAACCAGAAAGTCACAAGGTTAAAGAGGTTCAAAAAGGAACCTTTGCAACAAGACGTTGACGCCAAATTGACTTGTCAAAACGGCGCCGTCAAGTACGTTATGTCTGGTAATAGCTTTGGTGTGGCACCCATTATTAAAGACTAAAACAAAATAATTAATAATATTTTGTTTTCTTATATTAAATACTAAATAGTTTCTTTTTCTTCTTATTCTTGGATATATATATATATATATGTTTTTCTATACTGCATTCTGATTATTTATTTATTTATTATTTTCATGTATATGAATAGAAACACTTCTGGAGAACAAGTCAATTGTATGAAGAATCTTTACAGCGTTCATTTGGAAGAGAAAGTTAAGATTAAGCTAACAGAAGAAGAAAGAATTGATGCTCCTTTACATTAAAGTATACCAAAAGTATTCAGTTGAGTTTGAGCTATGGCTTTCAACAAATTTTCTTCTACCTCACAAAAATTGTTCACTCTGAATAATGCTTACTTCTGTACCGATTCTTAAGCAACTGCATTTTTCACATTGATGGACACAAGCTGCAGGCCTTCGTCGTCAGGAGTTATATCTAAGTTCTTTGTTAAAATATCAGTTGGAATCAGTTCAGAGGATTGATCACCCTTAGGGACAAGAAAAATCAGACCTAGTGTTGCAAGTCTCAAAATGTTTCTTATCAGAATAGCCAACCATAAATTTGTGAAATCAGTCCTTGTGACATTTAACATATGAAGAACTATGCCTCCACCCCATTTGGAGGAGAGTGAACCAAGGCTATCGATGCACATTAAAAGTGCGAAGAAAGTTCCTTCGATGCCTTTAGGGCAAAGCCTTGTGCTTAATACAATCATGGGCATCCATCTAATTCTGCTGATGATATGAGAGACACATTGTTCCATGATAACAAAGAAATAATCAGGAATACCGAGGATTAAATTCCACCGGAGGATGAAAACCAGATCGAGCATTCCGGACATGCCATAAAGGATCTGAGCAAACAAGAGTAGGTTCCTGAATGGATAGTCTTTTAGAGTCTTGTGATAGATTAGAACACCTACCATAGAAGCCACTGCAGCAATTGCATAAATTACCCCAACAAACTCCTGCAGTGAGAAAAACTTTGGATTAAGAATAACTGAACAGCATTTAAGCATAAAAACTAACTTTGATTATCCACAGGAGTCGACCTAGAACTGAGAAATACTCGACAAAACAGCTTTAGAGTAATATGATTGATTCTTACTAAACTCTGCATCTGTCAGAGAAAAAACAGATCCTCTATCCCAGTGGGTAACATTCAAACTCTAATTTTAATTCCATAGATAAGCTAGAAAGTGAGAAACCTGAGAGAACGCAGGACCGGCTTCAGGATCTGTGTACCAATAAAATTGCCCTTCATGAGTACTTATACTAAGAGCCAAAGACAGATACATGTATAGTGATGGCTTCCAGACTTGAGGGCACTTGATTGATTTATACATGCCCTTCATTGCCACTTCTAAGTTTTCCACAGCCTGCAGATGTTAATATTGGCTATATAAATCATAAATTGGAATGAAAATGAAAATAAAGAGTTTAAAAAAACAATGTTTCTGACAGAAATAGCAATATTTTGATTCTTTAGACTGAACCAAATCTCAATTGATTAAGGTTGAGCATGGTTAACTTTCTGGCCAACAGTTTGTGGACTGAAAAACCAACTCATAGTCAAGCCAAACCACTAGTGAAAGTTAACCCATGTCAAGAAATTTCCTCTTTAGGTTGTAGTATGTTTACGGCCAACAGAAGAACTTGGTACAGTTATCTACCAACTAGACCATAGTGTTAGAGAGGCATCAAGGAAACAAGCTCAGTCTGTTTGATTTGGTGTGTTATATGACAGATTAGATTAATGGCAGTTATCTTTTGGATGAAAATGTTATCATATTATAATGACATTTTAGATCTCTGAGTCTATCTAGGCTTACACTAAACCTGAAGGGTGTTTACGTTTTAAAGCCTTCTTTTGGTCTACTTCTCTCAGTACAGTTACTATCTAGGATAGGTGGCAATTGACATAAATCATAAATTATTAATATCGAAGGTCCCTCCATAGAGGATTTTGTTGGCTCCTGTGGAGTTTCCCACTTTCTGTAACTCTTTTTCAATACAAGTTCAGTTTCTTAGAAGAAAAAAAAAAAAAGAAAATCAATGGGACAGTCATGTTGATGACTGAAAGTGAGAGGTATTGTTTTTCAGCACGCCCCTAATTTATTATTAATTGGTTAGGTTGGCTCTTAATATAAACAATGAATAACTTTATTTAATTTTAAAAGGCCTGTTCTTATCATCAAATTTTAAATACCCGATGTAACTGTCCATATAGTTCTTAGTTTACGCCTATTGAAAATATTTATATCTGAACCAGCTACAATACACCAAAACAAACATCAGGTGAATTAAAAAAATGAGAAAAAAAAATCTAACCTTTTTCTTCTCAGAATGGAGACTTGTAGATCTTGGTTCATAAATCACAAAACCCAAAACTACCAGTAAAGCTGCAGGGATTGCCAAGAGACCTAATGCTCCCTATACAAAGCATCAAACAGATTTTAAGTTAAAATGCTAATTGCTTATACAGGGAAAAGAATTGCAAACTATAGATATACTCTCAAGAAAATTAAAGCTGACCTGAGGTCCAAGATGATGAACAAGAAAACCACTAGTGGAGTAGCCAAGCAAAGCCCCAGCGGAGGAACAAAACCCACAAAGGCTTTGCATATCAGATGCCAGAGCCCTCACTTCAATACTATTTCTTGCAATACAGGCATCAATGGTGACATCTGCAATTGCAATACCAGCTGTCATCCCAATCAAACAACCCAAGGCCACTGCATTTGGCAACTTACCAAGAAGACCAACCATCAATGAAGAACCAACCCCAAGAACACCAGCAGCAATGAAGTAAGGCCTTCTGTGATACCCTTTAATGGGGAAAACATCAGTGAAGAGACCCCAAACTGGCTTCATAATCCATGGAATGTAATATAAGCCTATGTAGATTTGCACCATTGAAGGCTGGACCTTTTGGACATCTTTCCAGTAATAGTCTGTGACTACTTTGAAGAAAGATCCAGTAAAACCTTGACTGAGACCATAAACAAGGACTATACCAAAGATGAAAGATGGGTTTAGCTGGGAAGATAGCATTTGTAGCCATTGAACGGGCTCAAGAAAGACCGAGAGAATATTGGTTTTTGTGCAGGTTTCTGGTACGGGGAATTGGCTTTGGCTTTGGTTTGAAATTGATGGAGTTTGTTTGGAGATATTGATGAGAGGTTTGTCTTCAAGTTCTTGGTCTTGCAAGGGCTCCATGTTTGAGGCTTAGGACAAGAACATGATTCTCTGAATGAATTGGGAAGGCAAGTATTTGACTAGACTCCAGGATCTTGAAGTAGCCAACGGGGCTGGCTGCCTCTGCATCGTCCAAGATCTTGACTTTGCTGCACAATTAATTCTTATTTCTTAGTCACCCATTCTACAATTATCTTGATATAATATAATAAAGGTGAGGCCATGGCTGACGACTATTTCACATCTACCCAACCCACGTACCCAAATTTTGTCACCATTTATTACCACCACCATTTCTTTGACATACCCAGGGGTCAAATTCTTTGAAAAAAATTTAGATGTTAACAACGTAACACTGTAACTTCAATTACACTGGCTAATCTTTAATATCATGATTAATGTTACCCTTACAATTCTTTCTTATAAATTTTCTCTTACAACCTGAGGTGAGACTCATTGTAAATTAACCAATTACGAACAATTACGTTAAAATTATAAGAAAAAGTTTGTAAAAAAAGATTGTGAATATAACATTTTCCCGATATCATTTGCTACATAAATTGGTTTATGCAGTTGTAATTGTGTTGACAAAATGGTATGAGTTTTAGCTCGACAAATTGGAACAAGTTGGTTTAAGATATTCTTCTTCTATTATATGTTAAAGTTTTCTCGGGGTATCCACAGCTTTATTCACCTTTAAAATAAATGGATAATGGAGAATCTCACAGTATGATTCGTGGAGAAGCAAAGTGGTTTAGATTTAAGAACTAAAATAAGCAAAATTTTCAATTTAAAAGAAAATGTCTGCTGCACGATTGCACTGGTTTCAATATAAAAGAAAAAGAAAATCCAACACAATTACAAGAATACATGTTTTACACTCACCCAATAAACTTCCATTTTGATCCCACAAAGAATAAATTTGAAAAGGTTTAAGGGGGAGAGGAAGGAATTCAACAACAGACTGGTTCACATAATATGCTCACGAAACTGCTTCAAAGCAAAGAAGTGTGAAACCATCAGCTCCTCTTTTATCTTGGGAAAAATTGAGATAAGCAGTTAAGGAACAAATGAATGAAAAAAGAAGAAATAACTCAATTTTAACTTTATGTTTGTCTGTCACAAAACCTGCAAGGTTACAAGAACATTTGTGTGAACTGTTATGCTTTATTAAAATTCTAATTTACATATACTCATTTATTCCTCTCGTTTAAAACTGCAGACTCTAACCAGCTCGAAACTCATGCCGCAAGGAGCTTCTGGATGTCCTTCTGTAACAAATAAAGAGGAGAATCAGAGAATAAACTTGACAAAAATATTCATTTATTTTTTTTCTTTGAAGTAGTTGATTGCTTAGGAAATTTAAAAATAAACTAATCATATTAAGAATTCAACATTTTTCAGTCAATTACTATTCTATACCTATGTTTAGTCATGCTTTGTGTATTACAGAGAAAATATTAACAAGGTATGGTCATGATGTCTACTGAAAAAAAATGTTTATATTGCATGTCCACAGTTACAGGTGAAGTCATTACAGCCCAGAGACATACATATGTATGGGGGAGTGTGTAAGTTTATATCCTAAGTTTAGTATCCAAAGTAATTTAATATTGTTATATCATTACAATTCTACATTAATATCATATTTAGGAGATTATAAACTTCGAATACAAACTTTTTGATGAATCTGCTGTCATAATACATTGCACCTATTCTAGGTAGGGAAACAATGAAAGCCTATTAAGATATACAGTTAAGTAGCTTAATGAATAAAAAGTTCATAAAGGATCATAGCATTCTTAGCATTAGAAATATATGAATAAACAAACCTCAATTTGGAAAGGTGATGTTGTAGGTGGATATCTCTCTACAACTTTACCATTTTTGTCAACCAAGAACTTCTCAAAGTTCCACTTTATCAGGTCACCTAAAAATCCTCCGGCACTTGACTTCAAAAACCGATAAACTGGAGCTGTGTTCGGTCCATTGACATCAACCTGTTTTATAAAACCTTTATCCAGTGACTCATCTTATCACTTTAGCATGCAAGTTATAAGCACAAGGAAAAGCATTTGACCCACCTTGTCAAATATGGGAAATTCTGCCTTAAATCTAGTACAGGCAAAATCCTTGATCTCAGGATTTGATCCAGGCTCTTGGCCACCAAATTGATTGCATGGAAAAGCTAGAATCTCAAAACCTGCCTCAGGAGTTACACAAACAGATTTTACTGGAGTCATTCAAGGAAGAAATGAGTTTCCCTAGGCTTAATTTTCACACTAGTTGAAGAAATGTTACCTATAGCTTTATAAAACCATCTAGGCTTATATATAATCATGTTTCTTGATGGAATTGTGATAGTTCTCACCGTTAACTCATACTCTAAACATTGATCCTTTACAGACTACAAGTATCACAAGACTACAAAATAGACACAGTTAAAAGGACATCAAGTAGATGCTGTAGGTATCCATCAGTTGGAATCTGATTTTTTTAAACATGACTAGTATTCTAGGCAAATCAAAATATCAACAGATAATCTTACATAAATCCTGATCACAAAGCAGAGCTGAGAAAAAATATGTGGTCTATTATGTGAACAGATCCTCTATCTGCACTTTGGTGAATAATACCGCCAGAATCCAGAAACATATAAAAAAGGCAGAACAGAAGGTCTACGGCATACTACACTAGCTCCAAACTAAGTACTAAAAGACAGATAACAAATAAAAATGGATTCTTTCCACTCAAACTTAGCCCACCTTGAGTCTTGTACTTCTCGTACAGGTGAGAAAGTTCCGAGTAATTGCCCGTTGTCAAGCCACTAAGATGCAAAGCAAAATCCTTCAGTCAGACCTTGAGTACTAAACATCAAACAAACAATTTGAAATACACAACATTTTCACAACAAAATACTCGTAAGAGATTGTACCATCTTGAAGCAACATTCACAATCAAGAGAGCTTTCCCCTTAAATTTGCTAAGAGGAACTTCCTTCTCATCAATATCCTGTATCAAAAACGCCATAAACAAGTCAACTATCCCCATCACACACACACACACGCATTACCTTAAAAATCTCAGCAATATAATCAGTACAAATTTCTTTAATATCAAGCAGCAGGGTCAGTTAATTCCCTTTGTCAATTCACACTATATTCTTTTAACAAAGTAGCTATAGTATAACAGATTTGAAAGCTAGAGCAAATTTGAAATTTTTCACAGTACCAATAACTTGAAGCCTAGGAACTAATTATTATCCTACACACAAAGAGAAGCAGTACAAATATAAAAAGGAGGTGTTAAAATCTTCAGGAAAACAAATAAAGAGAAGGAAAGTCCATTAACTGCTAAAAAATTACCTTAACGGTGAAGTCATATAAAGTCTTTCTCCGTAGCACTCTGGCAAAACACAAAAGGAGCGCTTTCATGAAAAACCCAGGAAAAGTTACGGATGCAAAGAGAACCCATGCTGCAAAAAGGCAGATTTAGATGACCCAAGTGAAGATTTGATGGAGAGAGTCAATGAAGAAGCCATAGAAGGCCATGAAGAAGAAGAAGTGGGGTGTGTTTTGGGTTGTATGAAAGCATGAAAAGCTGTAGAGAAAGAGAAGCAGAGGAAGGCATAGAAGAAGCCATTGGTTATGAGCTTTGAAACAACGTCGGTGAGTTGCAGAAGGTTATGGAAGAGAGAAGTTAGGCAACATGCGTGGACAGTCTTTGCAACCAGGTTTGGCAGTGGATGCAGATGTTCCACGTGGTCTATTTGTCTGATTTTCTTTAATAAAAAAATATATTATTATCATTTTTAATTCTTAAATTAATATTAAATATTTTAATTATAATTACGTCTAAAAATAAACCTATTACTTCTTTGAAATATTAATTGATAAAATAGATAAGATTAAGTAATAATATTTTCTTAATTACATGTATAGAAACATATAAGAAATTACATCTTTGTATAAATACAATTATGAAGAATGCCATTAGTACAAATTAAATAAAAAACAAATAAATCTAATATTGCTATCAAATATACATAATATTATGTGCATTTTTAACAAATTAATATTACCAGCTTTCATAGGAAGTATGTTTATATATTTATTAAAATGTAAAATTTGATATTATATTAGGATTTAAGAACTTCTATATTAATTTTTTTAAGAAGTTTAGAAGTAAATTCCATTTTAAATACAAAAATCATTATGAGGATTAATAATTAAAAAAAAACCACCCTTGGGTGCCTAGTGATTGAAAGTTGAATAGAACTCTTGGGGTATTATCCAAAAAATCTTGAGTTGATTCACCGCGATTTCTAATAGGAGTGGTCATTGATGTTTACTCGACTGTTAACTTTAGGGTCCGAAGTTTAGTTGAGGTACCTACAAGTTGACCCGAACACCTTATCACAAAAAAAAAAAAAAAAAAAGATTAATAGAAAAATCACGTTGGCTGTGAGGTTTGCCTTATTAACAAATATTTTTCTAAGGTTTATGAAATAATAAAAATTTTATACTGAGTATTCAAGATTTAAGTGGGAGGTTGTGATGGTTAGTTGCTACACAAGTATTTTTTGGGGATTAATCAAGGTATGTATAAACTTATCCCAACACTTTGGTTTAAAAAAAATGAAAATTCCCTTGTTATTAGTGAATTTTTATCATGAAATAATGTGTATCTATTAAATTGACCTTATACCGTTTATTTTAACACATTAAATTTAACGGAAGGGAGTTTTTGTTATTTCATCAACCTTAAAGGCAGTAATAGTAAATAAATCAAAGCTCAGGGGTCAATAGGATTAAATCTTAAAATAATAATATAAAAGAATAAAAGGGTTTCTCGGAACCCTCTTCTCTTCTTCACTCAGCAGCTTACAGATACAGATACAGATAGAGAGGTTACAAAAACCTCTCTCTCTATCTGTATTTACCCTAAATTTACAAATTTATTTCTTAAAAGCCAATAATTAAACCCATCCCTTTTCAATCCACTTCAGAAGCCCTAATTTTTCCCGCTTGCTGTCGCTGAAGCAACAGTTTTCTTGAAGGTATGCAGGCAGATCAGACGGTAATAAGCTTGAGACCAGGAGGTGGCGGTGGTCCGCGCGGACCCAGATTCTTTACCCCTCGTTTCGATTCCTCGTCTTCGTCTACTTCTGATTCGGAAACTCTGCGCCCTCATGGCGGTCTAAATCCCGCCTTTAAGGTCCCCTTTTTAAAACCCTAGTTCTCATTTATGTACATCTCTATCTCTGAATGTGAGTTTTTGTGTATAATGTTGTTTGCAGATCTAGGGTTTTTAAAAAGCTTGTTTTCTATTTTTTTTTTTTCGTTCTTTTATAGAATTAGGGTTTTTATTTGAATGAATACGTGGCTTTTTATGTGCTTTATTCACTAAGGATGATTCAACGTTCTTTTGGAATATTTCTCTCTCATTCTTGGATTAGGGTTCTTCTGTCGTAAGCTTTTATGCAAATTTTTTTTTCTTTTTTTAATTGTAAAAATCTTAACTCATACGTTATAGACAACCACTTGTATTATCATTTCTAAATTTTGTTCTAGGCAAGACAGCGACATGTCCTTTATTATTTTACCACTAGTGGTAAGACTTTCTGTTGTCCATCACTTGAAAGCTGCAGACTCTTTAATAAGCTTTAAAAGGAGTAAATTTTATGGAGTAGAGTATTTTTTTTTTTTTTTTTAAATTAGCTGTCCTAATTCTTGGTGGGGCACTTAAGTTTGTGTACCTGCTGTAAATATGGACAGATAGCAATAAGTGGGATTTAGGTGGGCATGTAATGAGTATGTTTATGTCTATAAAGAACCCACGTTACATAGAGAAACCGGTAGACAATATTTAAAGGAGGGCATACATAATTTTGCATTATTACATATTGTTATTCATTAATTACATATTACATATTTTGTTTCATGTGATTTATGTATTGTAAAATAGACGGGGGACTTGCGGTTTGAAGGTTGGGAACGAGTTCGATATACCCGGGACCAGCTGTTGCAACTTAAAGAGGTGCTTATCAGTAGTATTTCTTAATGGTCATATATTTTTAACATTTATTATGGAGCAGTGGAGAGATTGTTGACATAACATTATGTAGCTTAGAAAATCGACTCCCTAGCTAAATTATATAACTAACAGTCTGTTAATAGTTTTCCATTCGGTCATTGGTTATGTTGAGTGTTTGAAATAGTGGTTTCTTCTCACGCTTTCCTTAGGTTGCTGACATTCCTGAAGATATTTTAACGATTAAACAAGAAATTGAGTCTGAGTTTGATGGCGAGGTTCAAACCTGGGGTGGTCATGCAGATAGCAATGTAAGTTTCTCCTTGTATGTTATGATTCCTAATAGTACATTTTATTGGGAGTAATAATGCTTATATTGGTTGGTACAATATTATTTATTGTGCAAATGATACTTTTGTGGTTTCAACCTGTTCTGTGTGTTCCTTTTTTCATGGATTTGATTCTTCTCTCTAATAATTCTTCTCTGTAACTTTATGGCTGTCTAGAAATTTTATTTATTTACTTAATTCTTTAGTTGCAACCTCAGTCCCAAAATCGTTATTCCGAGACAGACAATCGTGATTGGCGTACTAGATCTGCTGGAGAAGAGAAGGATTCCAGTCGATTTGAGTCGAAGCTGCAAGAATTCAGTGCTCGTGAGGACCAACTAAATTTTCAGTTTGCAAGGGCTCAAATCACTTCTAACCAAGGGGTAACATATTCTTAGCAGATGTCTTAAAATAAATCTTACGATCTCTTCAAATTTCTTATAACTGTAGAAATTTTTAGTTTTGTTGGTTTGATGAAATTTGAACTTGATATGAATTGATTATGATGCTGTTAGTGATGTGTAGGAGGTTCAGTTTCATAATCACAGAAAAATGTAGTTTAAAGTTTAAAAATACACTCATTTCTCTTTTGAGGGATGGGAAACACTTATTTTTTTTGTTGATGAGAAGCTAAGGGACGGGGAGCATATAAGATGTTGGTTGAATTCTTTCTGTTAATGGTACAAGTGATCAAGTATAGTAGATGGGTGGTGTGGGTTGTAATTGCTTTGATGTTATCTGTTAAAGATTAAAAGGTGATCATGTTTCAAAAGTTACTGAAGAGAACCTTAGTTTTGTTCATAGTCTCTTAGCATGCATTCTTGGCTTCTATATGACATAGTTCCAATCTTCTATGGAAACCAGGTGGGACCTGCTCCAGCTCTAATTAAGGCTGATGTTCCATGGTCAGCTCGAAGGGGAAATCTCTCTGACAAGGAACGTGTTCTGAAGACAGTTAAAGGGTAATTGCTCCCCCGATATATTACGTCACAGTTCGTATGATACATATGATACATTTTCCCAAAAAAATTGTGGTGAGGATGTATAATAAGGATTGTCTATTTGAAAGCTCCTTTGTGAAGAAGGATTGTTTGTAGTGTCTTGAAGAAGGATTGTTTGTAGTGTCTTTCAGAAAATTGCTTGCATTGATTGCTTTATAGAATTATCATGACTGCTGTTCCACTTATTGTGCAGTATTCTGAACAAATTGACCCCAGAGAAGTTTGATGTTCTCAAGGGTCAGCTGATTGACTCTGGAATTACAACCCCAGATATTTTGAAGGTTCCTTTTTATCACATTTCTTGAATCTATTGATGAGCAGCAAATTATCCTTTTCTATGTTCTTGTTGTAAGTAAAACTGAGGATTCTGTTTGCATGGCAGGGTGTCATCTCATTGATTTTTGATAAGGCTGTGCTGGAACCTACATTTTGTCCCATGTATGCTCTTTTATGCTCTGACCTTAACATGAAGCTTCCTCCATTTCCATCTGATGAACCTGGTGGTAAAGATATCACTTTCAAGCGGTTACTTCTGAATCATTGTCAGGAGGCATTTGAAGGTGCTGACAACCTGAGGGCTGAAATTAGGCAGATGACTGCCCCTGAATTAGAAATGGAACGACGGGATAAAGAGCGACTTGTTAAGCTGCGAACCTTGGGGAACATACGCCTTATTGGGGAACTTTTAAAGCAGAAGATGGTGCCTGAAAAGATTGTTCACCATATTGTTCAGGTGCTTCTGAAAGACCATCAGACATTCCCTTTTCGTTCATTGATTAGCCTGGTGGCTTACTATCTTTCTTGTGTGATGCAGGAGCTTTTGGGAAGTGACAGCAAAGCATGCCCAGCTGAGGAGAATGTGGAGGCAATATGTCAGTTTTTTATCACCATTGGCAAGCAGCTGGATGAGAGCCCAAAATCAAGGCGTGTCAATGATGTCTATTTTAGTAGGTTGAAGGAGTTGACCACAAATCAACAACTTGCCCCACGGTTGAGGTTTTTGGTTCGCGATGTTTTAGATCTGCGAACCAGCAACTGGGTCCCTCGACGTGAAGAGGTTAATTTTCATATCTTATTAATGCTTTATTTCTCTCCCCCTTCTTTGTCTTGTGGCTGGGATTATTATTATTTGGATAAAAAGAACCTTTTTCCCCCTTTAGATGTTGTCTTGTTTGTTTACTGCTGCATATTTCCTTTATATATTCTGGGCTATCCTTAGCATCTGATAGTCTAGTTTGATCACTTTACTGACAGGTGAAAGCTAAGACCATTACTGAAATTCATTCAGAGGCAGAGAAGAATCTTGGTTTGCGTCCTGGCGCAACTGCAATGATGAGAAACGGTCGTACAGGGGCTCTTGGGGGTATGAACCCTGTAGACTTCCCTGTTGCACGACCTGGTTCTGGGGGTATGATGCCTGGAATGCCAGGAACCAAGAAAATGCCTGGAATGCCGGGCCTTGATACTGACAATTGGGAGGTTCCTCGTTCTCGATCAATGCCAAGAGGTGATGGTACAGGTCCTACTCAATTTGCAGGACGTGTCCTGTCACCTTTGATCAGCAAACCACCATCTCTCAACTCAAAACTTTTGCCTCAAGGTAGTGGTGGTATTATATCAGGGAAAAATACTGCCTTGTTGCAAGGTGCTGGTGCTCCCCCACCCCGTTCTGGATTTGGTGCAGGAATTGAACCTGCACCTCAGTATACTAAGCCTGTTGCGCCTGCTGCATCAGTAATTACATCTACTGAGAAGGCAATGCCACCTGCACCAAAACTAAATCTTGCAGTTCTTCAAAAGAAAACCATCTCTCTGCTTGAAGAATATTTCAGTGTTCAAATTCTCGATGAAGCACTACAGTGTATAGAGGAACTAAACGCCCCAACGTATTATCCTGAGGTTGTTAAAGAAGCCATTGCCCTTGCTCTGGAAAAGATCCCTCCATGTGTGGAACCTGTCTTAAAGCTTCTTGGGTTCTTGCTAAGTAAGAATGTTGTGACAACCAGAGACATAGGAACCGGGTGTCTTCTATATGGCTCGTTGTTAGATGATATTGCCATAGATTTACCAAAAGCACCAAATAACTTTGGTGAGGTGGTTGGAAAGTTGGTTGTAGCTCAAGGTTTGGACTTCAAGGTTGTAAAAGAAGTTCTGAAGAAGGTGGAAGAAGATTTTTTCCGGAAAACAATCTTCGATGCTGCTATGAGGAGCATTGGTTCCAGCCCTTCTGGGGAAGAACTGTTGGGGACCCAAGGAGCTGAAATTCAGGCCTGTGAAAGTTTACTCGCTTGATTCAAATTGGAGCCCTTTTAGACATGAGAAGTTGTAAACACAACAGTTGCATACTTCCTATATTTCCCAGAATTTTGTCCTCTTTAAGTTACATTTTTTTATCAATGGACCAGGAGCAGCCTTAATTTAATTGAGTTGTATATTTTTTTATTTTTTTTGTTCAAGTGAGAAACATAATGTGTTGTATTCTCTTAGTTGCTACCAGTTTATTCTTACCTGGGATGCTCGAGAAGAATAGGATCATTGTGATCTTGTATTACATTATATTCTGGATTCATGTGTACCATGTTTTTGTCACCTGGCCACTACGGAAGTGCCCAATTGGATAATGAACTTTGTCTTTTGCTTCTTTGAGTTATCTATCACTATCACCTTATCCTCTCAGGATATTTGATGGCTTTTATACTGTAATTTTTAGTTTACATCTCGCATAATCTGAACTGTTTTGCTTCATTGATTTGTGTTTTGAAATGTCTCTCTTAGCCTGCTACACATTCTGTAAGTCAACCTCATCTGATTTGAGTTACTGGAATAAGCTTATTAAGAATAAATTACTCAAAGGAAGTGCAGAACAAGCTATTCTGACATATATAAATATGCAAGAACTTGGAATACATGCCGATAACTATTCTTTTCCAGTTTTATTGAAAGCATGCAGCAGTCTTTGTAGTTCTTCTGTTGGGTTAATGCTTCATGGCCAAACTATTAAAGCTGGTTTTTGTGGCCATGTCTTTGTGCAAACAGCTCTGTTGGAAACGTATGGGAGTTTAAGATGTATTGATGATGCTTATAAAGTGTTTTATAGGATGCCTGAGAAAGATACTGTTACATGGAACTCAATGTTAAGTGCGTTTGCTTCTTGTGGGCAGATGGATTCTGCTATGAAATTGTTTGATTCATGCCTTCAAAGGATCTTGCATCTTTCAATATCATGATCTCTGGGTTCGCAAGGATGGGGAGGATGCATTCTGCAAGAAATGTATTCGATATGATGCCTGTTAAAGATGTTGTTTCATGGAACTCAATGATATTGGCTTTTACTAATGCTAAAGAAATGGAAGAAGCTTGTGAAATGTTTAAGCAAATGCCAGTTAAAAATGTCATTTCGTGGAACACGATAATCACTGGGTATTTACATTGCCAAATCTACTCTGAAGTAGTTGCTTTGTTTGATGAAATGGAAGCTGGAAACTGCAAACCTGATTATCTTACCGTGACTAGTGTTCTATCTGCATGTGCCCATCTCGGATCTCTGGAAACCGGCGCAAGAATACATATATATGCTAAAGAAAATGGGCTTGCATTCAGCCCCCATGTTGCAACAGCATTAATAGATATGTATGCCAAGTGTGGTAGCATACAACACGCTTTAGAGGTGTTCTATAAGTCCCAAGTTAAGGATATATACTGTTGGAATGCCATAATCTCCGGGCTAGCTCTTCATGGTTATGGGCATGCTGCGCTCAAACTCTTTGGCTTAATGAAAGATGGTTGTATAAAGGTTGATGATATTACCTTCATTGGCCTGCTTAGTGCTTGTAGCCATGTGGGCTTGGTGCAAGAGGGTTGTGAACTGTTCAGCTGTATGGAAAAGGAGTTTGGAATTACACCTAAGTTAGAGCATTACGGTTGTATGGTTGATCTTCTGGGACGTGCCGGGTTTCTTGACTGTGCAATGCAACTGATTGAAGCTATGCCATTTGAGCCAACAGAATCCATCTTGGGTGCTTTGCTTAGTGCTTGTGTGATTCATCAGGATCTTGAGACCGGAGATAAAGTAGTAAGGCTGATTTCTTCCAAGGCTCAATACTTGAGCGACGGGGAACTTATGATGTTTGCTAACTTATATGCATCCTGCAATCAATGGGAAGAAGCAAACAGATGGAGATACATGATGAATGATACGGGCATTATTAAAACTGCTGGGTGCAGTTTAATAGAGGTAGATGGAAAATATCACAAATTTTTGGCTGGGGCGATAGGGGAAGAATCAAATGTGTTGGTCTAAGTAGATGCCAGTTCAAAGCACAATATCAGAGTCAATATTATTTACTTTAATATTAACTTTTGCTTCAAATTTTATTCAATTGAATTAGCTTCTTGTATTCAGATGCAAATTGCTCTAGCTGCAAACAGGTTTGCCTTTTTCTTTACATTTTCTGATACAATTTTAGATAAACTGTTAATAAATATTATCCTTTACACGAACACGCCAAGAGCTTTTAGAGAGTATTTCATTGGCCACCAAATAGATAATGTGATAATATGTAGGTCACCATCACAATTAATGCATAGCTGGATGTTTTAAGATTTGATAACGACCATTCCATTGCAAATCTTGAAAAATAAGTAGCAGTTACTGCTGGTGAACTGTTGGTGAACCCATCTTCCCAATCTCGTGACAATATTTTCAACATCAAGCTTCCAAATTTGATTGGATTGGTGTCCAAAATCTCTTTGTCAAAGTGTCTAATCTTCGTTTTACCAAATGGTTTTAAAGGACTGGAAAGTTTTGGACTTGGTACAACAAATCTGTAGTGTTGATTTTCTCTTCAGATGTTAGATCAATCGTCTAAAAAATGGATCCTTGCTCACATGGCCACACCAAGTCGCCAATAATACAGTACGTGTTTCACATTTGACGGTTGATGATCATGATGTATCAGGAAACAGGTCAATTTACTTAAGCAATCAGCCCACAGATTTGGTACAACTTTCTCTTTCTTCTTTTTTAATTAACTTTGCATAATAGTTCAAAGATTTCATATAACTTTATATACTCCCTGCTAATATAATATTGCATTTGCAGATTTGCATTCAGTGTACATGGATTTGTTTTTATCCCATCTGAAATCATATGCCCACGTAGAGAAAGCAAGAGAGACATAACCTTAAATAACAATGAAAACTAGGTGTATCCTGTGATGCCCTTCAAAGGAATGAACTAGTTTATTATATCCCTTTTCATTATATTATTACTAAACAAACAGTAGTGGCTGCAAGTAAAAGTTTAAACCCTAACTTACCCATTATATATATAATTGTAACTAATAAACAAATGTTAAATCTTTAAGCTATTAACGTTTCTTTGAAGGCTGCCAAAGGATGCTCAGGTGAGTTGATATTATTGTTGTACCTGCTACTTTTTCACTCTTCATTGTTTAGCAAGTCTCCAGCACAGAAGAAAACAAAAACTGTTGATTAAATACTTTCACTCTCTGGACATCAAGTTTTTCTTATTGTTTAATATATCGCACGCTTTATGTGCGTGCCAGCCAAACTTTCTTTTAAGTTGGCTCTTTAATATTCATTAAAAATATTTTCTTTTTCATTATAAATTGATACTGTAAAAATCTATAATGCTGCGAAATAAGACTATGGTCAGGTTACTGGAACAGGGTCAAAGAATGAAGACAAATTTGTAGAGTTTGTCTGCATTTTCTTGTGTATATACACAACTTCGGCCGACAGAAATTGTACTGGCAACCTTGACTAGTTCCACTTTTGTAATTAATATTGAATGGGAGGATGATAGGCATTATCTTGTCCCATCTTCAAATGGGAATTTTCAACTCTCAACAGTACATATGCATATCTTATATTCTAATTAAGTAATTAATTCTCTTAGACGTTTGAAACATCAAAAATAGAAGACTACCAATAGAAAATAAAGAAACAAGAAGATATTATTGAGGATTAGTGATATAGACACGTTTGTCAATGGCTAGAATGGAAGGATGTGAACAAGAGTTTTGACCTTTCTATGACTGTTTTTCTTATGTAAATACTATGACCAGGTGAAATTTGGCCACAAGGCTTGTGTATAATATTTTTTTTCATTGCTTATCTTCTTCATCCATTTTTTTAGGTAAGATCAAAGAGATATCCCAAATTTAGTTGTCTCATCTTTTATCTCTTGTTGCATTAAAAAGTGAAATGCTAGCTCCAATTTGTGACACAAACTAGAAATATAATATTTTTGCCTTAACAGCAAAATAGAGCATTTATACAGGTGGTAACTTTTAACCTATGAACTGTCCTGAAACAGACATCTTTGAATAGAAAATGTACACCAGTTTGTTAATACACGTCTTAAATACGATGACTTTTTTCTCACTCTCGGCATTTGTAGGGACTCATATAACTCATTGTTTGGTGGAAGTGGTGAAACAGTCTTTGATGAAATGACAGGAAGGACTTCACAGGTGGTTTAGAATTGGTAAGTCTTTGGAGTTGATCCTCTGCGATGGCGCCTCCCGTTCATAACATGTGTCCTCGTTTCCAGCAGAACTGACTTTTTCATAAAAAGACATGTTTTTCATTACCTAATACTTTGAAACATGGTAAAGAAGAATGTTTTTATTTTCTAATTTCAGGATGGCAAGAATAATTTCGGTGATTTAACTTATTTTACTAGGGTGTAAACCGTATAATGGTAAATATTGGATTTTTAGTAATATTTTAATATTATATTGTTATTTTATTTCATTTTTGAATGGTTGGACGTCAAATTCAGTTACTTTATTTTCTAAATTCAATCATGAACTCGACTAAATTTTCTTCCTTTACGTAGAGAGAGGAACGTACTCTTATCGTTTGTATATAAATATTGTTTACTTTTTGTTTTGGCAGAGTGTTGAATTTAGAAGTTTTAAAATTTTCAAACACTTTGAGAGAGAGGAGAGGAAAACGATCGGATTTCAAATGTATTTGAATCCGTTACATTATTACATTAAGAGAAAAGATAAAATTGTTGATAAGTGATGAGCTATCTTGGATACGTATCTTGAATTATTGAGACCTCTCTGAGAATGGCAGACAACTAATAAGGCTTATTAAAAATCTTGCTTGTTGTCAGGGGAGCTTGACAATTGTAAACTTTGGGAAAGGATAAGTCTGACGGATGTCTTTAATGTTGGAAGAATAAATTTGACATAAGTTACAAGTCTTGAAGTCTTGATATTTTGCAGAGATGCTTCCTACAAGTGATAAAGTTAGTTGAGAAAAATCTTGACAGTGCCGAAACTTTTGAATCTTGAGATTTGAAACTATTGCAGAAGCCACGTGAAAGGATTATCTTGAAGAACATTTATTGCTGCAGGAAGTGATGCAAGCATGTGATAAAAGTCTTTGTTGAAACTGAAGTAACTCTTTCTTGAAATGTGTTGTAGAGAACCAAGAAAATTCTTGAAGATCCGCCAAAGTGTTAAAAAATGATGCTAGAGTCACTGCCTCTTAATCATCTTCAAATTGAGATCCTCAATTGAGACTTTTGAGAATTGCCCGAAAGAAATATCTGAATCACTGTCTTCAGAGTGTTGAGAATTGTCTCGAACTTGAGAACTTAATAAATCATTTTCTCCTTCGTAATCATCGGCCTCGACTAATTCAGCTGCCTCTTCACTTGACTAATTGTTGAATACAATTATTGTTTTTCTGATGTTGATGATGAGGGTTTATTAAAAGAGAAGAAGCCCAATTACTAAATGGTTCTTGTGGATGTTTATCCTTATATTTCATGACGACTTTTTTGGTACGAATTTCGTTTTCAAGAATAATTTTGTTAATTGCTTTTGAAGAAAAGGATAAGGCTTCGGCTAATTGAATTGGTGTTGGATTTTTAATATTTTAGATAATGCTAAAAAATCATTAATATGGGAATCATGAAGAATTCTTTGCCAAATATCATTTGAAAAATATCTTTTTGATTTTCTGTGATTGTTTTTCTTTTGAGAAAGATGACGATTTTGGACATAGTAAAAACATTTTTTGATTTTTGAAATTGTTTAAGGGTTTTTCTCTTTGAGAATTATGACTTTGATGGGAGTGCCCATCTTTCACTCAATTACTTTCTGTCACTCACTCTCTTTATCACTCAACTTTTTCTTTCCCTGTAAGAATTCACGGAAGAAAATCAGGTAAAATTATTGTGTCCTTTGATGTGTTCAATTTCAAAGTCAAAACAAGACAGTATTGCTTGCCATCTGGCGAAATTTGTTTTGAAACTAAATTTTTTACATCTTTTTCAAAAATAAATTTGGATGCAGAAGAATCTGTTCGGATCAAAAATCTTTTATATCAATCATCTTGAAATTTGTAATGCATAAAACATTGATAAAACTTCTTTTTTTGATGGTTGAATATTTTTTTGAGCATCGAGCCAGACTCCAGAATGGAACCTAACTAGTTTCTTTATATCTAATTTTTGTTTTAATATTCCACCTAACCTATATCAGAGGCATCAGTTTCTATAATAGGATAAGCTGATGGATCCAATATACTAAGACAAGGAAGAATTTAATTTTGGATTTGATTTCTTTAACTATTTGGGTATGGGATTCGGACCATGCAGGGGAGTTTTTTCTAAGTCTTTGGTATAACGGTTCACATAATTTTCTAAGGTCTTGGAAAAACTCTGCTATATAATTAAGACATCCTAAAAATATTTGTAATTGTGTTTTATCTCTTAATTCATCAGGAAATTATTTGCGAATTCTTTTGTCCATCAATTGGTTTACTCGAACACTGTCATAAGAAATCAAAGATTTACAAGATAAAAAATTAATTAGACCAAGTAAATCTCCATGGAGTTGTTCTGCCTTCTATGTCAATAATGCAGCAGAAAAGAACGAGGAGTTCAAGATTAGTCATCATATAAACCATTAATCAAAGTATTACAATGGATTAGATACCCATTCCCAACAAAAATTTAATTAATAGACTATATAATGCAACATATTTTCAAAATTTGATATGAAGTCAGGATTTTGGCAAGTCCAAATAGATGAATTAATAGATACAAAACAACATTTAATGTTCCTTTTGGTCATATTGAATGGAACTTTATGCCTTTCGATTAAAAAATGCACCATCAGATTTTCAAAACATTATAATGATATTTATCCCTATATCACTTTACAATAGTAATTTGACGATTCTTGTTTATTCAAAATCAATAGATCAACATTTAAAACATTTAAAAATATTTGAAGAAATTATTAAAAGAAATGGATTAGTTGTTTCAGCACAAAAATGAAATTATTTCAAGCAAAAATCAAATTGTTAGTTCATGAAATTTATAGATCGGATTTCAAATGTATTTGAATCCGTTACTTATTACATTACAGAGAAAAGAT